TGTATATCTCTAAAACTGTAGACATATTATTATTAGAAGGTATAACGACACAGCAAGACCTATGGGATTTTTGATCTCTGAATTTAAATAGCCAAAACCCAGCTTGTTAGAATCTTTTACAACCACTTGTTCCACCTAAATATTTTTTTTTTTGGTCCCATTTTCACTTAATATACCTAATTCTCTTCAACTTCACAACCTTTTACATGGAAGATCTTGGCGACTGGTGACGCGTTTTCACCTAGATGGGTTCAACACATTTGTCGAGCTGGTACATTGATTTTCCGGAATTAAAATTTTATATAATGTATTTTAAATTCCTTTCTTTACATTTTGAACTCAAAAATAAAATATATTTCCACATAAGTCGTCCACAAAATTTAACAACTTCAACAAGAAAGCATTAAAACGGCAACCAGACCAGATATCCGAATAAATTTTGTATAGTAATTTTCCCTACGACTTATGTATATTCTTTCATGTCATATAAAGTTGTATCAAAATTACTGTGTGTGAAAATGTCAATACATTTTAAAACAATACTGGTTCTCTTCTATCAATGCCCTCAGCTTCCGTCATTTTTATTTAGAGGGCGCTTTTTTCAGCTTTTTTCCGTCATTGAATTAGAAGAAAAACACAGGCATTAAAAACATGGTATCCATTTTTTTTTAAAGATAAACAATTATAATTTCTAAGTATTTTTTATTTAAATCGAAATTAATGAAGTTTACAATTTATTTGAAAATTAATTACAATTCTTTTTCGGTAGTGAACATTTTTTATGCACTTCATATTTTGAGATATATTTTTGGGAAGTGGGAAATGTCCATGTAGTAAAATGTTTTATAGATTTCAGTAAAATATAGAATTTAGCAGAAATGAAGTAGTGTATGATGTTGATATTTCAAAATTTACTTCCTTAAAGTATTCGCTATTCAAATGTGATGTGATGTGAAAAAAAGATGATTTTGATAGTAAAAGTTGGAGAATCTTGAAAGTTGTTAGAAAGTGCAAAACGTGCCTTTGGGTAATAAAAATTCTAATATCAATCGAAACTAAAGTGTTTTACAGTTATTTTCTATTCTTTTGTTAAATAGTTTTGATGGACAATTTTTTTTAACAATTTCATTTTGTGGTTTTAATATACATATTTTTTTTTTAAATTACACTCTATAATAGATTTTTAATTTTTGTTGTTAACTCCGCAACCCGTAATATTTAATACGATTCTCTACTATATAAAAATTTTTTCTCCTCCGGTATTAGTTTATTATGTTTTACATATTTAGAGAATAGACAGAAAAAATAAAATGTCCATTCTAAAATTATGCAATTGTAATATTTGTTTTCAGCTATAAGATTTAGTTTTTCGTCCTAAAAATATGCAATTATTTTTTTATTATCTATGAAATTTTTTTCTCTCCCATAAATATACAATATACGTTAAATATACGCTAAATGTTTAAAGGAGGCGGAGTAAACTTTTTATGTACTAGAGAGATATTTTAGTGTGATATAATCGCATATGCATTATAAAATTTAGTTCTTTGTCATAAAAAGTTGAAATTGCAACATTTTTTATTATCTATGAAATATTTTTTGTCGCATAAATATACAAAATACGTTAGGACTCTATGTTTAAAGAAGGCGGAGAAGACCTTTTATGTAATAGAGAGATATTTTGGTGTGATATAATCGCATATGCATTATAAAAACTTTTTTACTGTATTACTTAAACAAATATGGATTTCAACATTTTTACTTTACATAGAGATGTACAATGTACAATTCAAATACTGCATATTATTTATAATTAAGTGTCTATTAAAATATTCTTAAATAATAAACCTTTTTATTTTTAAAAATTCTATATTCTATTTGCCTCTTTAATGTCACTTGATTTTATAACGATAAAAATCCCTATTTATCGAATATATATTACTTTAATTGTACATATTTACGGTATGTTTTATAATAAAAATAAATAAATAATTAAATAAGTTAATATCTAATGTCATAAATAAATAATTAAAAAACTTAATTAAGTTAAATACTTTTGTCAATGGTTTATGCATACAATGATTACTCCACTAATTTACTAATATTAATTTTTGACGGTATCTTTATAATTACTATTAGATGTAGTTTAAAATTATTTTATTCTTCTTAACTTTGTTAGTTATAAATGGTAAGACTATTGTCTGGTTTTTATATTATTTATTTATTAATTCGTTAAATTTCAATTGTCGATATGTTATTGTAATATAATTATAATTTGGTTTATATAGAATAGTGAAATCGAAAGAATTCAACAGATTTTTAATATTTTATATAGAGTTTAAATTAAAAAACTTAATTTAACTAAAGACTTAACAATCATGAGATCAAAATCAATTCGATAATTAAATACTATGGATCATTTAAAACAATTTTAAAAAATATTCCGAAAATAATACGGTACCGGTTTTTTGTTCAACATATTAATTTTTAATCAAGGGAAAATAATCAAATTAGGAATATATTATACATTAAGACCGAAAAGTTTTCGGAAATTCTCATTTAAAATTCGCGCGCTGTATATTTTTCGATATTTTAAGTTTATGTAGTTTGGCAGCAATTAAGGAAAATTACTATGCCAAAAATGAGCGCGATCTGTCAGACAGTTCGTTTACGGCAGCTGTTGAAACCAGTTCACCTCAGTAGTGCGTTGCGAAAAAAACAATGGAAAAAAATATTGAACAAAGAGTTTGCATCAAATTTTGTGTTTCGAACGAAATTTCGTGTGCAGAATCGTTGCGAATGCTACAAAAGGCTTATGGGGAATCAGTTTTATCGAAAACTCAAGTTTATGAGTGGTACAAAGCCTTTCAGGACGGTCGTACGACCGTCGAAGACATTTCGCAACGCACTACTGAGGTGAACTGGTTTCAACAGCTGCCGTAAACGAACTGTCTGACAGATCGCGCTCATTTTTGGCATAGTAATTAAGGACAGTGCTGCCAAACTACATAAACTTAAAATATCGAAAAATATACAGCGCGCGAATTTTAAATGAGAATTTCCGAAAACTTTTCAGTCTTAATGTATATACACTATATGCCAAAGTTACTGAAAATATTAGGTAAGTAGGATGAACTGACACCCATATAAACACATCAGTTGTAAATGATTTGAACCTTGTATTGGATAAATACAATTGCTAAAAAATAGTACATATATTTATGAGTATTTTTATTACACTTTTGTACCTTACACTTTATAAATCTCTTCAATTATCTTAAAATATCTTAAAATATCATTTTCGTTTTATAGTCCCGATAAATTATATAAAAGTTGTCTTTGAAGTGAATGTCTTCTTCTCTACATAAGAGCTTTCATTACATGAAAAATAAGTCAAAATTAATATCTCATATTAGAACTTATTGAATGCCGGATATGAAAGTACCACTTAAGATTTATGAAAACGAAGTAGAAACTAGCAGAAGAAGAGGGCGACCAAGAAAACGATGGAAAGACAGTGTGCAGCAGGACTTAGAAGAAATGAGCATAGGAAATTGAAAAACAAAACAGGCTTAGGTCCTTCATGGATAGACACGGATGATGATGGTGATTACAATTTATCAGAATTAAACTTTGTTATAGCACTCGTACATTTAACATATATTTAAAATATATTCGTAAAAGATCACTAAATTATCTTAGGAAGAGATTAAATTCAGCAAACATTAATGGGTTGGTTATATTCTTCGAAACACTTAAGATGACAATGAAGAGTAACTTGAGCACTCAAGATGTTATGGCGATGCAGTTTCAATAAAGAAACCTTCAAATATACGACGTATAACTGCAAATCTAATGAAATGGAAATTCTAATTTAGAAAGTAGTAATATTATGTACAAAATTTCTTCAACAAGACAACTTAATAGTGTGTCAAACAAATCCACACAAATCTCCACACCTATACGCATTCAATATATATTTTAAGTCATAGAACTTTGACTACAGACCCACAGCACATTGTCTCTTGATAAAATATCTACGTATGCTATCTCCAATACGCATGTAAATATATCGAGATACTCCACATCAAATAATAATAATATAATTAAGTATAAGAAATGGATAATGGATAATCAAATATCCACTTATATAAATGGTGGATAAATATTTGGGATCCTAATTTTATTTTTATTTAATATAATAACTTTTAATGGAAGTGTAAATATAGAATTTCTTGACTAATATATCTTAATGGAACTACGGATCTAGAAATGAATCTATAATCAAGCATTTTCGAACCGATTCCTATAATTATAATATTTTTTTATTTAAATATATATATATACCATATATATTAAAAATTTTAAAACGCAATAATTTAAAACTACTATTACTAAAACTAGATTAAGTTAAATTCCGATTGTTTAAGAAATAGGTAAGGCAAGTAGCAGTATACTCATAAAATGTGAGATAAAAGTAGTTTTGCAACATGCGAAGAATTAAATAATTTTGGGTACATGTATTAATTAAATCGAACCAAGAATCTAATAAAGAAAATTTACAAGACACATCTTCTAATGATTCAAAAAGTTTCTGAGCCTACTTCTCGAAGCTACACGACAACATCGACGTTAAAGAGACAGAGACTAGGACTTAACAGTTTGTAATATATTTAACAACGCTAAGTTACTGATCATGGGTTTGAGTAAATACAATCCTAAAATTACAACAAAATAATTTCAAATAGTACCTTTAAAATACTGGCGATACTACAAGTATGTATTATTGAATCCATCAATAAAAGTTTTTAAAAAATTATGGGCATTGAGGGCATTGTGAAATACTTCAAAATCAAATATTTTCCGATCTATTCGATAACATCAATAACATGCATTGAATACATTACGGGCAAATCTTATAATAAAGTAAAAATAGGTGTATAAAATATATATAACATACAAAAAAATATAACTGTACAATATAAATAAATGTAAATATAAATAGTAGATAGATAAATAGATAGATAAAAAGGTAGATACTATAGCACCTAAAAGATCGCTTTGTCACCAATATTTTCAGTGTCCAACAATAAGCACGGAAGCACTGGTATTTGTAAAGCGAAGGAAACTTGTACATTAAATATTATCTTCGAAGAAGAATACAAAGAAATAGTGAATTCAAGAATTAATCTCTCTTTTTTGGCGGATTAAACATTTGTTCAATATTTGTGCGAGATCCTTGTATAATCAGCATATGTTGAGATGGAAAGTCCCATATAATGGTAAAATGAAATAGCATATTTGCAACAGCAATTACGTATTCGAAGAAAGCAAACCAACTGAAAGCTGTGAAAAAACAAAAAATATTAATATGTAAAATATAGATGATATATTATGTATTATATATAGCAGTTTTCATACCCATGTCATGGCAATAGAAACGATGTTTGGCAAAAAATATTAATAACCCAATAGTGCTCAGTATTGATATGGCAAAGAGTATTTTCTTCCATTTAATTGACTCTCGTTGTGAAGGTGGCAACTCTCCGTGATCATCATGCAAAATTTCATTCAATTTAATAGTGGCCAACATGTGACACAAGGAGCAAATCATAAACGTTATAAAAATTTTTTCATGTATTGCTAAAATGCGTTATAAATAAATATTTCAAATTATTATTATTTTAACTTGATAGTACGAGTATGTGATTATCAAGTCAACTTACGATAATTTTCTCGGTTCGATATATAAGTAACACCGCCTAACGATATAATTTCGATGCAATTCAATATCAAAATTAAAGTTATCAACAAATTGGTTATCGGCACTTGGTGAGGTGCTCGTCGTTCCAATTGTTCCAAGAGACTACGATAGTAGTTTTTGTATATAAAGGCAATTGGCAAACGCGGGCCTAGGTGAAATGCAATACTTAAACGCCAAAAATAGCGTTGAGGACTGACCCCAGTAATTGCACTTATCGATGGTACAATATTGTAAACCTAAACCAAAAACACGAAATGAATAAATTTAATAATATAGAATAAAATGAGTAATGCAATATTCAATTTACTTACACGACAATGTGTTTCATGTACTTCATCATATTGGAAGACCAATGCACTGACAAAACAGGATAGTAAAGTTACAAGTGGAAGTAATGCCGACACGACACATATCTGATGGAAGCTAGCGAAATACTGTATTTTAAGTGGAGAGAATGTTGTCGAGGTTAATGTAGTAATTGAACCATCCGTTGTTGTTAGTTTGGTTGTTGTGCTAGTGGTCTTAGCAATTAAACTGCCTTCTGGCGAACAATACTGCAAAGACGTCGACAATTACATTAAAAGTCCATTAAAATTAAAAACTAAATTAAATAAAATTAATTCACAAAAGAAATAAAAATTAAAAAATAAACGTCATAAATAACCATTAAAAAAATCTAGAACTTTATATCATCCTGATATCGGTTGGTTTTGAAAAAACTTTAAAAGTTTGAGATCAATATATTGAGTCGACTCCTAAACTAATAATGACATTACAGGTCTATTTTGAAAAATAGTACAAATCCTGAACCAGCTAAAAAACATATATCAAAAAAAATTGGTCCTGGTTTCTGTGCGAATTTCCGTAAAGGAACATACTAGAGGACATATATCAATTTGGTGTTGAAACATAATATAGAGCTTAACAATCATGCATAACTATCTTCAACTTCATGAAATTATTGCCAATAACGTAATGTATGTATCACACAATAAACTAGCTCTCCAGACACTGGTATTCTAGTAAAACTCTAGTAATATTCTTAACTGATTTTTACTTTAGTAAAATACTACAGTAACCAACAATTATTAAAAAATACGTTCTTATTTATTTATTCGGTGTGACGCAAAACTCTTATCCACGTGCACCCTCTCCAGGGTCGTTCCCAAGTTAATACTACCTCAACTTGATCACTCTATCAGTCTATTTATCTTCAAACAAATTTTTGTTTTGTTATAGCATCGTTATCAATTCTCACGGCATGAATACTTGAATTGAATACTATCAATGTCGTGATAAAGCTGATTATTTCCGAATTCATTCAAATATGGTAGCCATCAACAACTCATAGAGAGTCAAGGATATTATAAGAAACATTTTCTCGAAGACTCCCATTGCTTCTTCATCATTCGGTGGTACAGTTTATGCTGCAGTGTCATAAAAAAAATAGATAGGAAAAACGTAGGCTTTGTCGGTCAAGAGAAAGCTCTATTTACATACCAATTGCTTACTAAATCCATATTAGCACCTACTAGCAATCAGAATTTTTTGTTTGATCAACAGGGTGACATTTTCATTAATATATATAGTCTTAAATTAGAAATTATAAAGGAAATAGATTTTTAAAGTTTTATATTAGTAAATATCAACTGACAGACTCTATGCCGTTTTAAATAATGAGTTTTATTTGAGCCGTTTCAACTTTATATCTCTCTAATCACAAACTATAAAACTATTGAATCAGATTAGTTTGTTAAGGTGTTCCTAAAAACACACCTAACATGGTTAACCCATAGTGTTTCAGTATAAATATCAAGGGGGTTAATACTATTTCTAGTCTCTGTAGAAGTCCAATATGCTATTTAAAAATTGGTCTTGCTTCTAACTGAGATCCTCCAGTCTTTCGTATGTTTAATCTACATTTCGCTAGGCAATAACAAATCAGTTATAAAGCCTTTATCCTATCTTCCTGTCAACAGTACTAATGCATTTTGAAAGGATAATCTTCTAACATGATTATCTAATCGGCAATGACCGTAAGATCATACGGACTAATATTTCTGCAGGATGTGTGAATAATATTATTAATTTTTACTTATGGAAAGAAATTTTCAAGCTTAAAATTTTTAATGAGTCTAAAGAGCTTAAATTAAGCCGGACAGTGAATTAAATACTTTCAATTATTTTTTTTTTTTCAAAAATATAAAAATTTGTGAAAAAAAATTAATTTTGAACCTGAAATCACTCTCACTTAATGTGGATTAAAGCATTCGATGCTCTTCGGGACTTAACTCTCTAGAAATACACATGTTTCTTAAGTTGCTAGAGGAACCATTGATTACACACAATTACACAGAGCACAATGGGAAAGCCGGAAAACTCGCAAAAATCGATAACAAAAAAAGAAGCATTTCTTTCTGTGCTAAGTAAACACTTGCTAGCCGCAGAGCACACACTTATCATCGAATCGACAAGAACAACAACAACTAAACCGTTACACAGCAACACACCATTAAGAATTCAAACGTCAGCAGAAACAGGAAATACGAAAGAGGAGACACACACAGGCGGGGTGGAAACAGTTTTAACGCTCACGTAAAATATAAACAAAAAGCAATGCGATTGTGGTTAGGTACTGGAGGGTAGCAAATTCGAGCATTGAAAATTTAATGTGATGTTATATAATGAAAAATACGGGAATTGTTCTAAGTGAAGAGTATTTTTTTGTTGATTAAATGCAGTATTATTATTCGTATTTTAAATAAATTTTACGCACCACGCCCATTTCATTTTTTTCATTAAATAGTTCAACATTTTGTGAATCCGCTGTGAGATCCAGCATATTACTTCCGGTAGTTGGTTTGGTTATGTTTTCGGTAACATCCCGTACTACAGTCGAATTCTCTGGCAGAACATCCATTATTCCCAATTCAATTGCTGTAATTTGTTTACGCCACAGAAGTATACATTTATTTAGAACTAAAAATAGGAAAACTAATGGAAACTTTTCACAAAAGTTTTCATATTCGCCACAATGTTAAGACTTCATTGTTACTTGTTGTTTATCTTTGCAATGTTCAAAACTTATAAATAGTGCACGATTCCGATTCGTAACAAATTTTTATTTCATATTTTTAGACATTTTTCATATACATATAGTCACAATTTCACCCAAAATTTAATTCGCTAAAATTTTCGATTTTTTCAAAGCTGCGCACCAAGTTCCGACTGACATTTTAAATTTCTTCCCGTTCATTTCGTTATTTGACATTTGTAAAAAAATAATGGGGGGAGTAAAAGTCCTTGTGGTCGGTTTTAAGGGCAAGTAAAAAGCTCTACACATAAAATAATATTAAAACTATTATCCTAAAGTTTCAAAAAATCAAAATGGTTGATATTTATTACATTCTAACCACATATTCACCAATGTCTAGGACATTATTCTTTACGTATTGGCTTTCATGGTATCGTTTAGGAGAATACTGGAATAATATTCTAATTAATGACTAAAATTTAATTTACAGAATATTAAATGTTTTCATATTATAATGTTAACATAAAATGTCATTTTATCTTATTGAAAAAAAAATATTTTCAAAGAATGCTAGAAAAGTGAGGAAAGGAATGGAGGATGTTGTTACTAGGTAGTAAATACAGACTAGAAATAAACTCTGTGTAAGGGGTTATTGTTACCACGATTGCAAAGCAGGATTAGAGAAGGGACGCGAACGATATCGTCCAGATAAAGAGCCAGAAATTGAGAAGGTTTGAACCTCTTATTATTAAGCAGATCGATAGGACATTGAGATGAATGCATAAAATAAACTAAAGTATCAGACAAAAAGAATACAGCATTATCTATTGAGTGAAATACTCGTAATAATATTTAAAAACAATTTTCAATAAATATATACTTGAAAATAATTTGAATAAATTGTAAGATACACATTTAAATATTTTTTATTACAAACATTTACAAATATATTTAAAAACCATGTTCTACAACACAACACCCAGTTTAGAGAATACTAACATATAAATTGACGTTATTGACGTGTGAAGGTGCTTCCACTCCAAAGCGAATGCTTGCGAACGAACGAACTTCTACAGGTACGATTACCTGCGAATCGTTCGTTAACATGTAAATCCTCTTTTAAGTTAACAGATAAAATCATGTGATTTTATTCAACCAAGCCATTGGAGTAAGCCTGTAGCTTGATAAATTTTTTGTTTACGTACTTCTGAAACCGCATGATGTAATGTTCCTTTTTAAACAATTAATTACAACTGAATGATTAAGCTGAAAATATCAAAACGTGTTGAAGATATATTAATTAAATAGATATATATAAATATGTTCATTTCAAAATTATACATATTATTTATAAATATATGAAAGCAGATTTAAGTGTATTATTATTTAATATATTAAATATACAATTATAATTTATATAATATATTATTACATATAAATATTATTATATGTTATATTATGGTCGTGTGCGAGTTAGGCTAAGTTGATGCTAAACCAAATGAGAGATTTTTTGGGATTTTTTGCACTGCACACATTTAGCCATTTATCAACACGTATCGACACATCACTACATTATCGGCTCATCTTAGAATTTCCATAATTTAGAACGCAACTTAGCCTAACTCGCACACGACCTATATTATTAATACATACATGTGTAAATATCTATATAAATACTAAAATCTTTGAATAAAGTAACATTTCGAAACGACGATAAATACTAATAAGGTCATTGCAACTACTAGTGTGAAAGCATTGTCATCCTTCTTAAAGCTTTTATCTAGAATACGGACTATAAAAAATTTTTACCAGAAATGCACAATTTTCTTATACTTCTCCTCCGACAAAACATGTCAAAATTAAGTCATTTAACAACACTGTATCATTTTCACAGCTGTTTAATGTCAAAAGCGTTTGTTGAGGTTACGAAAGAAAACATTGTCAGTGGATGTGAGGCTAGTTATTTGAGGTTCTAATTATTTAATATATTCTAGCAAAAATGAATGTAATTTGCAAACAGTTAGCGCGACTAAATATTACACAAACATTTTTACAAAACTCCTGCAAAGTGTTACCTATATCATTCACATCGAACAAATTTCATACAACCGCCACTAACGATTCAAAATGGAACAAACATAATTCGGGCCCACAGAAATGGTTACAATATAACAAAGTTGTACATCCACCACAAATGCCGGATGAAGAGCCACGCAAGGCTGTAAGTTATGATTTTTACATTGTACAAATTATTTAAAAAATATTTAATAATTTTAGTATGTATGCCATATGAGGACTAACATCAAATATAGTCCAGATAAAATGTGGTATATTGCGTGTTTAGTCCGCGGTTTGTCGGTAGATGAAGCAGTGAAACAACTGAGTTTTGTGCTTAAAAAAGGTGCAACGCATGTGAAAGAAGTAATATTAGAAGCACAAGAAATGGCAGTTAAAAGACATAATGTAGAATACAAGAGCAACTTATGGATTGGTAACATAGTTTATTTAAATGAAACCTTAGAAAACTTTTTTAAATATTTCTTAATATATTAAATAGCTGAATCATTTGTTGGTAAAGGACGCGTTATTCGTGGTATAAGACGACATGCTAGAGGGCGCACCGGAACTGTTGAATACAAATATTGTCACTATTTTGTACGTTTAGAAGAAGGTGAACCACCAAAACATTACTATGCAGCACCAGTAACACCACAAGAACAATTCGACAATTGGGTACAAATAATGAGAAATCGTAAAATTACTAGTTCTCTTTAAATTATTATTTGTAAGATGCAATAAACACACGTTAAAATAATATATACATTTTTACATCAATTATGCATTACAATATATGAAAAATATATATGAGTAAATAACGGTCTAGTACTTCAACGATATGACTGGTGTTAGGTAGGTAGAGATTAAAAAAACAAATTAGTTTGTTTGAATTTATATTTTTATATATGGCATGTACACAGTACAAAATTATAAATTTTCTGATTTTTTTAAAAACGTAAATAGACGTTAATTCAACAACATATTTGTAAATTACTGGTATTTTTTCTTTCACAGCTTATGTTATTTATGTGCTAAATGATCATATTTAGTTTTATTTGCTATCCAAATTAAATATGTGATATTTAATTTAATTCAGTTTCAATATCTGTAATGTCTTCCTCTGTTTGTTTTATCATCTCTTCTGCAACAGCACTTAGTGCGTCGTCTTCACGCGCACGTAATAATTTGTCTAGTTTTTTATCGACGACAATTGCGGACAATTTAGTAAGATTTGAAATAAGTGATTGTCCTTTATCCTTGCGTTTTTTTCTTGCAGTTTTCGACTTTTTATTAACTTTTTTAATATTTGTGTTTGTGTGATCACCTTTTTGATTGTGTTTTGTTAAATTCTGTGAACTACGGAACACTCTATAGCAATTTTCCACTGTGCATGCAAAGCGTCTACCATTATGTGCAGTTAGCATGTGCTGCTTTAGATTGCGCTCGTAAATGTAAAACCGTGTGCATCCTTCTTGCGTACATTTATATGTAATTTGTTGCTCATCCGTTAAATGTTTTGCAGCTACATGCGCTTTTAATTCACTTGGCTTATTATAGGTTGACGGACAATGTTCACATTTATATCTGAGCCGGCCATGTAGTGTTTGCTTGCAATGTTTTGTATACAAGGACCATTTGTCAAACGTCTCCTCACAATCTGTACATGGATATATTTTGCAAATAGATATATGACTTTCATATTGCCACTTTTGATAAAAACCCTTCGAACACTTTGAACAGCTAAAATATATAAATTGTATTATTTAACATTACCTAATGCTAAAGTTTTAAATACTATACTTATGCGGATATTCTCCAGTATGTTTTATTATTTCATGACGTCTCATCTTTAATTTCTGTGTAAACTTTTCACCGCAGTAAGTGCATTTATAGATTTTTGGATTTTCATGCACTTCACGTATGTGACGTTGCATATTGCAAACAGAATAAAACACTTTATCGCAATTTTCTATGGTACAATTAACATTCTTTTCAGCGGGTTTAATACGTTCATGCGTTGTACGCAAATGACGTTTTAAATGTGTGACGATAGAATAAGTTTTATTACAGCCCTCATAGGAACATGCATGTTTTTTCTTTTAAAGAAAGTATTCTTTGTGATAGAAAATTAAGAAATCATTAATAAAGAAAACAACTTACAACTCCTGTGTGGTGATACTCATGCCGATCCAATTGATCCAAGCGCTTAAAGGAAGCTCCGCAGTTACTTATGCTGCAAAAATACTTAGGTCCAGTACTATTACGCCTCGATTTTGACTTAATTTCCTTAATTGATATAATGCTTTCCAAGTCACTATCCGAAGTTGCTTGCGTATCAGGTGGCATTTTTAAATAATTTTAAAAGCGTGCCTCAACTGCATCGATTTTACAACTGTCAACATTTTTTTCACTTCAGGTGAAACAGTGTTGGAGAATGTATTTCGTAAATAAAAGTAGTATTTACATAAAGCAGGCGTATATATATAAAATTTTTAAATTGTTATCAATAGATTCAGAACATTGTTATTCATTTCAATTTAAATTTCGTACAAAATTCTCAGTTTTTTTATATCAATTTATATATATTTACAATGGAATTAAATGTGGGTAAAAGTTACACTGTAATTAAAATACCAAAGTTCAACACTGTGTCCATAACAAAATCATGTCATGCAACAAAAAAGAGAGATCTGCCAAAACGTCAGCTAAATAAGAAAATTCATGTTTGTGTGCAGCGTAGCAGTAAAACGGTTTGTGAAATAAATTTGGTGTTATAAAATATTGAAATCGCAAACTTACCCACAATTTTAATTTAACAAAAAAAAAAAAAGAAAAACAATGGAATACGAGAGTGTGCTTATTGTAAAACCAGAAGTATTTATTTACAAAATTCCACCGAGGGCAAACGTAAGGGGATACAGGTAAAAGTTACATTAAGAACAAATTTAAATGATTCATTTAACTTAAATTTGTCTATTTATTTATGAAGCTGCATCAAAAGCAGATTAACGCCCTTATTTTTATTTATCGCCACAAATTGTTTCTGCTGCTGTTTTATTCTTTAACAAAGCAAGGTTAATCGCAAATTTCCTGAAGTTCAATTTCAATTGATTTTTTTTTGCAGTTTTCTTTTTTGTTTTCTGTGACACCATTTACCACCTTGTACATTCGTTCGGTCTTTGTTTTTATTGCCATTTTCATTGTCAGAGCGTTCTTTTGGCTTATGTGGCATTTTTCAAACAAATTTCATATAAACACAAACAAATAATATATAAAATAACTATTTAATTTTTTTTTAATAAACTGCATATTAGGTACCATCCACAGCTATTTTTTTTTTTTTAATTTCTGCCTGTTTCAGATTGAAAATTTTTTGCTTTATCCCCAAATTTATTTCTATAACTTTCATATATAATATGTACTCCTACACTTCCAATATTGCTTTTTATAATTTAGAGCTGCTGATTGGAATTTGGGAGAACCTACTTGGACCGGTCGTATGCGGTTGGTCGCAAAAGGTACTGCCTGCAATCTGAAGCTAGAAGATAAAACAACTGGTGCTTTGTTTGCCAATTGTCCAATCGACACATATCCTGGTGTTGCGATTGAAGCCGTTTCGGACAGTTCTCGCTATTTCGTAATACGTGTACAAGATGATAATGGTAAAATAATGTAAATATTTTAAATAGCAACAATTATAAAAGTTATTAATCATTTTTAGGTCGCTCGGCTTTCTTAGGTCTTGGCTTTGGTGACCGTTCAGATTCATTTGACTTAAATGTAGCATTACAAGATCACTTTAAGTGGGTTAAAAATCAAGAACAAATTGAAAAAGAGAAGACAGAACCCAAACAAGAATTAGATCTCGGATTCAAAGAAGGTGAAACGATAAAAATAAATATGAGAATAACGGTGAGTTGTACAAAAAATGTGTACACCATTTATACGAATTTTATTTATTACAGAAAAAGGATGGATCTGAAGGTTCTTCTCGAACTTCAAAATCAAAAACTTCAACGGGTATCTTGCCACCACCTCCAGGTGGTATCGGCAAAATTGCACCTCCACCAACAAGCGGTGGCGCAGTACGGCAAAGCCCTCTTGCGTCTCCTGCTCACAGAGCTACAACTGGTACAGAATGGACTGACTATGCATCAGCTGGGTATGAAAAACTAAGCTAATATCAATTATTTCTAATATTCTGCATTACATTAGGAGCATATAATCAAATGTATTTTTCCATATAAGATTTGCTTAAGGCTATTTAGTTTTATTATTATGTATGCTTTTCCATCTACAATACCAACTTAATATAGTAGAAGAGAAGGAAAAAACATTGTAAAAAAGCACATTATACAAATATTTATATTATATAAATATAATATTAATAATATAATATTATATTAATATTTTTTATTCATTAATTTTTTATTTATTATAAATCATTTATTTTTTATTTATTATAAATCATTTATTTTCATTCACTTTTTTGGTATTGAATTTTTATTATTATTGATTTATAATTTTTAATAGATTTTTTTATTCGTATTTATTCTTGTATTAATTTTTTATTTTATTTTTTTCATTCATTTTCGTTTTTTTGTTTGTTTTTATTAATTTTTAATTGGTTCCTATTTTGTTTTTATTGTTTTTTATTTGTTTTTATTTGTAGACCCTTTCTTTAAATGAAACATATTTGATACATACTTCTGAAAAGACTAAAAATTAATAACTATTTAATTGATAAGATGACAAGCTTGTTTGTTGATTAAATTGTTCATAATTATTTAAAATATTTATAGTTCACCACAAGCGCAAGGACAACAACAGCAACAACAAAATGCCGCTAATGCCAACTGGGTGCAGTTCTAATTAGTTTAGAAATCTGGATAAAAAACACTAAATATTTTTATCAGAATTAAAAAAATGCTGAAAATTGTTGCTCGAAAAATTCAAACCGTAAATATGTAAAAAATGAGTTACGAACGATAAATTTGATAGGTATAAATAAAACAACAAAAAAAAATTAAAATAAAAATATTTCGTGTGTAATGTTTATTCGTGTAATATATAATAAATATATATATATAATTTAAATATGATAAATCATGTAGAGAAAATATTAACGAATTAATATTAATATTCATTGTTGATAACGTAATTCATAAAAAATATCATAAAATAGTTAAATTTAGCAAAAAATTTGTAATTATGCAGAATTTAATTTTGCTTTTAGAGAAAATATAAAAGTTTGTCATTCAGTTCTTAACAATAATTTTAATTAATTAAAGTATGGCATTGCTTGTACTTATTTGCAATTTGTAAAGATAATTTTCTGAACTTACACGATGTTTAATTTCAATTGAAATAAGTTTAGAAAAATTACTTAAATACTTTAAATTGAAGTAAAATTATATGAAATAAAATATTTGTATTGTATTATTTTTCATTTACTAATACATTCCGTTTAATTGATAAATATTGCGACATTGGATCGTTTTCATTGTTTACATTATTATTATATATAGATATATATATATATGAAATTTAATTTATTGTTTTTTTACGCTTTTATTGTTAAGCGACATAACCTAGGAGCGTTAGTAAAAGTATACACATATATGCAAAATATATATTTAAACCATTTGGAGTTGTAGTAAAATGTTCATGAATTGTTTACATATATATTTCAAGTCTATTGTTATTAGCAATGTTTATTTTTCAAATATATTTAAAATATCATATACAATAATAATTATAATAAGTGTAAGAAAAAAAAAAACACTGTAAGCGTAATATTCTCTTTTGTTAATAAACTGAATTAATTTTATTTTTATTTACTTTGGACAAATTTGCATTTTTCATTATATATCTAAAAGGAAGTTATCCATCCAGCTGTGATAATTATTCACGAGTATAACAATTAATTTGTATTATGGATTGAAATTCAAAATTTTGAAGATTTATTTACTTCAACTGAGACAAACGACTAAAAATAGGTCTGTTCCCCAAACTACTCTTAGTAACTTTGAGTAACACTGTGTATACACAAGTGCGTTCCGCCAGCAAATCTTCGAGTGAATGAGAATATCTGAGAGAGCGTAACATCCCTGTCGAAATTTGAAAATCCCCTAGACAGACTTTACTCGTACATTTTATTTCAAGTAAAATTTATGTGATGTGTGAATCAGCTGTTTTGGTTTGACTTTAAAATTTTGTATTGTTGTTTATTTTCGCGGCACTGGTGTTCTCATCAGTGTTTTAAACAAAGCTGTTTGGTACTTTATTTGTGTTACGCTCTCAGTTTGTACGTTACTTGTGGTTTACTTGAGTTTTACTATGAGTAGCTCGTGAAGCAGACCTAATGTTTACTGAAGATTACACATTGAGCGTCTCATTATGAGACAGTAGATATGATAAGAACAATTATTGCTCTACTGATTCAAAATACATTAAACATAGCTTATTTTTGAACTTCATCTGTAATATATATAATTCAGATATCTATAATAAACCAAAACGTGAATATTTCTCTTAACAAAATGTAGATATAGTTCAATGCTTTTCTTCTTTTTGGCTATAAAATAGAGACATTATTAGCGGATGAGTTAGCCAAGTCGAGTACTATAACAATCAAAACATATGAAGGATCATTCGCCGTTGACTATCTGTAAACTATTTAATGACTAATGGGATACATCTAGAACTGCTTGTAAGCTTACAACAGTAATCTTATATGGTTAGATTGACCTACTGGGTATAAAGGTAAAAAGCTATTCACCTAGTATGTGTAAGAAAACATTGATAAGTCATCAAGAATATGGTCGAAAGTATGCTCTCCATTTACTGAATTATAACTTGCTGTTAATTTATGCAGGCTTAGTTTGGTTAGATAAGCTGCTGGTGAGAAAAGTGAGCTGAATCTTCTAGAGTTTGACCATATAGTATGTCACTCTTTCTAAATCCAGGCTTTAAATTATAAATTCAGGTATAAATGTATAATTCTTAAACTTCAAGACCAATTCAGCATTGAGTGAAATCTTTGTATGAATAGTGACCATATTTTATTCTTGAAGGAACTTCTTTCTAACTTTTGGGGAACCAAATTACAGAATAAAGTAAGAGATATTGTGAAACTGTATGGAAAATAAGGAGCTCGAAGGAATATTAAGAGCCCATTTCACAATCGATACTCAAGTCCTAATACAAACTGAAGTCATGTTTAAGTCATCAATTTTGCTGACTGTTTTAGTCTGTTTCGAGACTTAAGCCATGAGTGTGTGATATGGACATTGTGTACATTGGGACGCATTGGAAGTTACCGCACACTGTATGATGTTGCAATGTACAATGGCGCACGGTAGTGGTATATAATGGCTTAAGTCTTCATTTTTCCTACAGAAAATCTGAAAGGATGATACCCATAACAATAGGTTTTTAATATATGAATGAGAAAATAAACATATCTGTGTTCAACAATCAATAAAAAGTTAATTTATTACTGGTGAATAAAATATTTTAAATTTATTTCACATATTAAAATTTTATTCAATTCAATTCAATTAATTAGTAAATAATAAAAATTTAATTGATGTAATTTACTACTGTTCAAAATACCTCTCTATTGAAAACAATAGTTTATATTAAATACTTAATTTCTTACGTTAAAAATCAATTTAATATAATAAATTATATAAATAAATACACATACGTTTGCATATAAAATTGTAACTGTTTCTCTTCTGCAGTACTGCTGTATAAACACCCTGTATAACAGCTGTTCTAAGTGTCAGTTCACCTGACGTACCAATGTTTATTTTGTTTGCAGCAAAATAAAGTTTATTTCTGCGCCAATCGTATAAAAAGTTTTTAATTGGGATTCATGCAAAGGACAGAATATGTACACATTACTACATGGATTTTACAAATATTTAACCCAAAAAGATGAATACTGCGTTGTTATATTGGGTTTGGATAATGCTGGAAAAACAGTAATCCTAAAATAAAGATAATCCTTTTGGTGATAAATGCTTAATATTTTTTTATTGCAGACGTACTTGGAGGCAGCTAAGACAAAATTCACAAAAAACTACAAAGGTTTAAATCCAGCAAAAATTACAACAACGGTTGGTCTTAATATTGGAACTATTGACGTGGCTAGTGTGCGGCTGAATTTTTGGGATTTGGGCGGCCAACAAGAGCTACAGTCACTTTGGGATAAATACTATCAAGAGTCTCACGGAGTAATATATGTAATCGACTCGAACGACCGTGGCAGAATGGAGGAATCAAAACAAATTTTTGGTAAGGGAACATATGATTTGAAAATATAAGCGAGAGGTGGAAGACATGTATAGGGTCAACTGTCGCTTTGTATTCGTGATAGAACTAAAGATAAGTTTTAAATAGTTAATCCGTACAAATTATCAAGGCACTTGTTATTTAAAGATTATATTATCACAAAACCTAGACGAGATTTATAAGGAGTTTATATCAAAATTTGTTTACAATGTAAAAAACTAATTATTGGGATACTCTCCAATGATTACCTTGGAGTTGGTATAATGGTAATGTAGAATCTTAAGAAATATATATAAATACTTAGTTAGTTAATTATGCATTAAGCACTCATCGGCTATATAGAATTGTCTGAATGTTGTCGATTTTGGTGCTGACATTCATGTTATATTTTATGAATTATAATGTTAAATAATTATATTTATTAAAGTCCACAAATAATTATTTTTATTCAAATCTTTCTAAGTTATTCGTAACGAATACTTGTTATTTTAAAAGTGACATAGTTTTAGCGCCACTAACATGAGTCATTGACGTCATTGATGTGCTTTGGTAAACTATGTACATATATAGGTATATCACATATGAGCACATAATGGTTTTTAATTAATCTATACTTGTTAAGTAGGTTTAAATAATATTACTTAATAGTAATAATTGAGTACCATTAAATAGTTTTTGAACGATCAAGTATCACCAATGGAGTGTAAAAGTTAGCCAAGACGATCGAACAACATTGCTTACTATAATAATAATAGCAATAAAAAAATTATAAAAATGAATAAACTATAATTAAGAATATACTACTGTCTTAAAAATATAGTTCTTTATATTTACTATGGAGTAAAATAAGCAGTAAGGATGTTATAGGTAGCCGACAAAAATAAAAATAAGAAATATTGTTGTCATTATTCTACCAAGCAAACCCCAAACAACATATCAAGCAATGTTTAAATTATTATAATTAATTTATATAATTTTTTTTCTTCTTTGCCATACAAATTTCTCTCTTCTGGTAAAGAATTCTCTATCTGCACAAAAACGGTTTACTAAAACATACACACTACGTTGTTCTGGTGTTTCCTCTGTTTATTACTAACCAAATTTTAATTATTTCTAAAAATTGCATTTTTATGAATTTTTATTAATGAAAACCACTTAGATAAGACGGGAGACTAAATGGGTTTTGAATTCAAAATCAATGGAGAGATTTTACTAAGCTACTATCTTTAATTTATTAACTTTCACAATAACAATTTTCTTGACATGTGATTTTTAAGTAACTTTTTGCCATAAATCAATAGAACTAGTACATATATCCATAAAATGAATCTTCTATATTTTTCTATATTTTTCATAAATATATTAAAAAATAAATTTACATATTTACAGATAAAATGATAAAAAACGAATTGTTATCGGGCGTTCCTTTGCTTATATTGGCGAATAAACAAGATTTGCCAGATGTGATGGGGGTACGTGAAATTAAACCAGTATTTCAGCAAGCCGGAGCACTAATAGGCAGGAGAGATTGCCTAACAATACCAGTATCTGCACTAACTGGGTAATTATTAACATATGCGGCTTATGAACATTCATTATGAACATTATTTAATTTTTGTTATATTTGACACAGTGAAGGCATTGATGAGGGTATTAAATGGCTGGTAGATGCCATCAAACGGCATTCCATAGTGAGGCCTCCTAGAGAAAATGACTGACCAACGTAATCAAAAGCAATTTTTTGTCGCTACTGATTTTTTCCACTCTCTCATCTAATTCCAACAAAATTATTTTTAAAACAATTAATAATAACAAATTAAGTTCAGCAACATAAAAAGTTACTTAACAAAAATAATTCAATTTCTTTTCTTAATATTACTAAATTATTGCATTTCGTTTGTGAAATTCTTTTAAAACAGCATTTAATATATTATATAAAATTTAAGAAAATGTCAGAATTTAAAGATTAGGTGCGTTGCTTAAAGGGCTTAAAGCTTTATAATATTACTTTTAAATTTTCTCATTTCTGTGTGCAAATATTTACACAATCGTTTAATTTTATTGTTTCGTTACTCTAAGTTTCAACAACGATTTTTTTAAAATAGATTTTTAACTTATTTTGTCTTATATTATAAAATAAACTTTACGAAATATAAAGATTGTTTATAAAAGAAAAGTACGTGCTATTTTAAATATTTTAGTTATTTTATAAGTATTACTACGAAATTTACTATGTTTCCGAAATCTTATCGGATTATGCACAAATCTATGTGGATTTAGTAGCTAAATGCCTAAATGCCGCCTTCGAGCAGGTTAGCTAAAATTTCATAATAAATTTATAAATAAATAGGCTTATGTTGATTGTGCTGTGTGCAGTAAAATAGCTTGCTCAGAACTAACAACGAGTGGCTTAGTTTCCACTCCACCAAAAGGTTTTATCTTTAGAAAGGTTGCGTTATCAGCGATTTGACGCTCTATGTTACTTTCGCTGATATCGTGCAACTGTTCCCTTTAGAATTTTTCTCTCTTCGCTTTATGTTGCTATAGCTATTATATAGATAAGACGACTATTTGTAATTACACGTATAGACAACAGGTAAGTTAGCCAACACTTTTCCACTTCATGGAAAAAGTTATCAAATTTAGTGGAGTTTTATGTGCCGTTTAATTAGAACAGCTCGGGTTTTACGTATAAAAGAATCCAAAAGTAGTGTCGAAATAGTTTTAATAAATATTTTTAATAATTTTAAAATTTTCTGAATTTGAAAATTTTTTAACAAAAATATATACAACAATCATCAGTGAATTAATTTAAAATAGAATTGTGCTGCACTCGGTATAGAGAATAAGATAAGATGATACGCGTTTTGTTATCAGTGAGGTTTTAATGATACCAACATTTTTGTATTTTTTTTTAATACAAAGAATATTTTTTGTTTAAATAGAAGTGTTAAAATATATCTACATATATGATTGTTAAATAAATATATATTGAAACTAAAAGCCAAATCGAATAAAAGAAAATAGCGTGAAATGTTTCCCTACTATGAAGATTGGAGCGTTTTGCCACCTGAAAATAATCGCAGGTATGAATAACACAATTAAATGCTAAATGCGTCTATAGTGAAATGAATAATTCATCGAATTGATTATTGTGCGAAATAATGAATTTCATTAATTTATTCAGTGACATTAAATATTTATGTCAGTTCATGGTAACAGAATAATATAATTCTTATATGTCTTGGAGCTAGGTAGGTAAGTGAAATGGGCAGAGATCAATCCATCTCAATTACATATGTTGTTATTGTTGTTCTAACCCGCTGGGATCTGCTTGTGAAGTCCCTTGTGGAGGTGTTGAACGGTAATTGGTCGTCGATAACGACGAGTGGCTCCGGGACGTAGACCGGACCGTTTTTGGAATATAATTAAGTATAAAGTGTATTTGCTTCCACATTCCTTGAAATTTTGGCAATGAGGTTCAACATTTTAAAAGTAATTGAAACAGTTACTTAATTACTAACTTACTCTAGAACTGTGAGATAACAGAAATGCAAGTTTTTCTTTTTCAAACACTAGAGAGACACCAGTGCCTATGCCTTGTATTAGCCCCATTAAAATTTTCTTGAAGGTTTATAAAAATCTTCATTCCAAAGGTTAGTGCTTCATCATACTTCACAATCATTGACCATATTAAACTCCAAAATTATTGTTTAATTATTATTTCATTTTATAATACCAAGAAGCACTTACAACCTGTGCGAGTTCCAAAACAGTTTGTAATGAGACTGACTTTGTCTTATGTATGTAATTTTTTATAATAATAAGAAGCAGTTTTATTACACCAATGAAATATGCTTCATTGTTATATCATAGTTTAAAAATTAATAGTAAGAACAAAGATAATTAGAGGGTGCTTACTTATGCTAATGAAATTTTGTTCCAGGTTAACTGTGTTAGCATTATTCTTACTTTGCTTATAGCAGGTGAAATTGCTTTCAGGATTAAAATAGTTACATTGAAAATGAAAACTAATTTTATCACCCATTAATATATTGCTTTAAAATCTATCAATAACTTCCACAATGCTTGTATAACTTTTCAAAAATACACTAATTTTAGACAAATAAAAAAGACTTCAGTGAAATTGAATAGATCTGCGATATGAATTTTAAAGAATGGCTCTACACGGTTTATTAAATATTATAAATTAATATTTTTTAAAAAACAGATTTTATATAGAACAGCTTTTTATAAAAGATTTTAATAAAAATTATTTCAATTGATGTGAATTATCCATTTGTATATAGTATGTATATATATTACTTCCTAATTTTACAACAAATTTCGCTTATTTAACTTTCTTTAACTTCAAATACTATACATTAATTTATTTTAATAGTAGTTAATAATGATACACACATATTTGCAATACATAAATTTAATGCCGATTTTAAATTGAGATTAATTAATGAGAATAATTCTCGTCCACTGTACCAGTGTCTTTATTATTCACCTTCTGCCACCTGTCACTAAACTCACCACGATGAGTTAAAAATGTCAACGCGGAGTCATATAGGAAAGTTATCAAGTTTTTCGCACTTCTGCTTAAATTAATTTTATTTATTTATTAAAATACTTAGAAATATTTTATTTTTTAATATATGTTAAACATTTTTGTTGTGAAAGTAATAAATTGCTATAGGATTGCAGTGAAAAAACGTAACATTCCATTAGTGAAATAAGCAGAAGGAAAACAAAAAAAATTGTCGCGTTGTGAGAAAATTAGCATAAAAGCAGTGAAGAAGCAGAAAAAGTGCAATCAAAAGCAAATATAAATACGAATTACGTGTTTAGTTCACAGATAAAGATATATAAATATTAAAATATATTCAATTTAGTGTCTGAATGATATCTATTAATTGAAAAGTAAATATAAGAATGTACGCAACTTAATTATGCATAATGTGAATGTAAACATTGCTAACATTTGGAATGTAAAGTTAATGAGATTCAAGTTGTGCATTGACGGTTTCTATGACAAATGGCTACATATGTCGTAATATTCTTGTGAATTAAATATTTATAAATGTTTATTCATCTTTTACTGGTTTTTTAAGAGTTTTGTCCTTTGGGTTTTTCGTGGTCACTCTCTCATATTAAGTAATAGTGCATTTTTTTCGTTCACTTGAATGTCATATTAATTCAAAGTCTACAATGTGCTAGATAAGTCTACAAAAATGATTGTGTTGAATATAAGGCAGAGTTTACAAGAACTGTTTAATGAATTTGTCAAAAGTTCAGATCAAAATTATTTTTAAATGCATAAATTTTGTTTTTATTATAAATAGATAATAATTTTTAAACTAATTCAACAACTAATAGTTATATATAAAACTTATATTAATTAGAGTTTTATATAAAATACTAAGAACAGCTTAAATGTGCGTAATCTGCTTTTGCAACAGGTGGTTTAAAAGTTTAATGATTTGTATATAAATAGAAAAATTATATATTAAATCTTTAAATAGAATGATTACGCACATATATACACATATAAATATTATTTACCAGGCAATCATATTTTCAGTATGTTTTAAAACTATCACTTGTAGAAGTTGCCATATAATGAACAATTTATACATTTTAAGTGAGTAGAAAATTTCAAAATATTAATTTTATTATATCCAGTTTCAGTTCAAAACAGGTTTTCTATAACAAATATTAATTTTAAAAATATTAATCATAAATAAAAGTTTAGATCTTACTTTAAAAACATATTTAAAAATAGTAGAGTTTTAATGCTCTAATAATTTTAGCATTTTAACAAGCTTATCAGAAAGAAACTTTTTAAAGTAATTTTATTTTTAAAGAAAAGTCGTTTTGTGTATTAGGTTTTAAGTTTTATTTTGAACGTTTATTTTTGTAAATTTTCTATATGTAATTCGCTTTTGCTTTCATCTGAAGGATTCCTAATAGTTATATTATGATCTATTTCAGCTCATAACAAGTTGTCAAAAGTTTTAAATTCTTTTGAATAACATATTGCTAATTTTTTTTTTTTAAAAATAATATATTTTAAGTATTATTTTTAATTCTTACATACTTCGGCAAATTAGCTTTTGCCTTCATTAGGAGTGTTCCTAATATTTTAATGTGCCTTAATAAGTTTAGCCTTTTAACTAATTTTTCAGAAATAATTTTTTTCTACGTGTCAATATCTCAGCACTATTTTTGTTACCTAAAATAATTTTAACTGTTGCATATTATGAATGGTGAATGATTTTCTTTGTATCATCTGAATATGTGAAAATTTCTAAAAATAGTTTATAAAATAAAAAATTAAAGAAATGTGTGCATATTAATTAATAGTGAAATTTTCTATATTCACACCTTATTTTCTGTCTCTACAGTACAAATTTCACCATACTCATACTCAACATAGCAAAAACTGTCAATTGGTTTAAGCCAATTTATTGCCATGAAGTCGTGGTCAGTACACAATGACATTTCAATAAAACAGTAGGTTAAGTTTAACGTCGAAAGAAAGGCAGGCATTCCATGAGAAACAAAAGGAAATGTAAAAAAAAAGAATATATAAAATAAAAAGCGATTAATGTTTGCCATCTTCCTGCTGTGCTTCCGTTTCAACTGGAAGCATACGGTATAAGAACTGGTAGCCAGCCTAATGGCCCTTACAACGCTACACTTGAATTAAAAGTGTAGTTAAGGTGGTTATGGTCGAGAGGCAGACAACATAACATACAAATTCACAATTCACAAATCACAACCTACTGTAATCAGGTTAATAATAAATTACATGAAAAACAACGTTAAGCATTTAAAGAGAGCACAAACGAAAACTAAAGTGACAAAACTGAACCAGTTGTAATATGTATTATTAAAAAAAGAATATAAATGTTAAAAGAATATTTAATCGATCTCTAAAGTGCGGTCAAGAGTGAAAATACGGTACGGCAAGTAACCGAAACGCGGGGCATGAGGGCATGAGGATATGAAATGGAATAAACGATAAACGACATCTGTTCGTCGAAGCAAAGTTCAATGAAATCGTCAATGCAACGACGTTTAGTTAGACCTACTAATTGCCTAATTTGTGTGACTCCATTGTTTTGAATCGCACAAGTGAAATATTTAATTACATATTTAATTATTTTAATTTTTCTCATTGCTAGAATTGCTAGTTGTGTTTGCATCTAATTAACTGCCCCTGCCACTGAGATTTCGTAGTGCATTAATTAATTAATTAATTATAAAACGAAAAATAAAATATTGTTAACAAACACATTTCATGAGTCAACAAAAAGCGCTGCCCTCCACCAATTATCCAAATCCCTACTAAATCTAACCCTACTAAAGCATATTTAATTACTATTATACTATTAACATATTGAGAAATATTTTTTAATTGTTTAATTGTTAAATTGTTAATCAATTTAATTAATAATTAATAATAAATAAAGTCAAAACTCGATTTTGTGCAACGGTAAATATTTAATAAAACAAAACAAAAAAGTACAAACTGGAGCCTCAACAGTATTGAAGTGCAAAGGTGTGGGACGACGTCAGCGTCTCACAATTTCCAACCTAAAAGCAAAGCCAACGTTTGACGACGTGTTATAATAATAAAAAATTAAAGAGAAAAATACAATAAATTTAAGATATAAAATTGTGAATCACGGTTCAAAATGAATTCTGAGCATGGGTAATGTTGTTGTTATTGTTGTTGTTATTTATTTAAATAAATTACTAAAATATAATTTGACTATAATTTTATTGCAATACTAATATAGTATATATAATATGCGAGTACGATATGCGAGTTGATTCTCGATATATACGGACGTATTTAGTTTATTCATTCAATTTGATTTTAATTAAGCTAAGTAAGAAATTCCTGCCTTTTTATTTATTCAATTGATTTGCTTGCCTTTAATACACATATTTTGTTTATTTATTTTATTCAGCAAACATTCTTGTTTTTTTATTTTTTGTTTTTTGTATGTATTTATATTTCACTATTAATAGCTATTAAAATGAAGTAATCACAGCTTGGAATAACGAAATGTGACAAATCTGAGCTTCGTCGCTGATAAACATGTGTTTCACTCTATCTCAATGGACTTCTGTTTTTTAAGGCATAACACGATAAACTATAACAATAATAACGTAAGGGGAGGGAAATCGATTAACAGAACCAACTGAATAATATTGTAAAGCGGTTGGTAGATAAGCTAGTCTCTCTTAAGAGAAGATAAATTACATTTTTTGTTCTTGTAGTCAGGGTAAATACACGATATATGAGCAATTTCCTATTTGTAAATGGTAGGGGCTCTTGTTGTTAGGGGAAATACACGATTTTTGAGTAATCCTATTTTTTAGATCCTATTTATAAATGGTAGGAGTTTTAAACAAGGCATGTGTACCTCTTGGTATGCAGTAATGATGGAGTGTTATGGGGATGAGACTTATAGTCATATTCTTTGCAACTGTTCAGCTTTGATCAGGCCAAAATACTGATTCAGGGGGCTCATATCACTGTCCGAACCTGTAGATATTGGGAAACCTCTACGAAAGGCACTCTGCTATTGATTTAAGAGGCCAAATGTTCTTAGATTACAGTTAGTTGCTAGCACCAAAAATCTGCAATGGTTATACATACGCATCTTGAACACATCGACACCTATTTTAACAAAGCCAATCTCGAGGAATACTACGCCTAAAATCTCTTCAACTAGACAAGCTTAGCACAATGGAAGTCAGCATATAGTCATTCGATAAATAGTTTAAGAAAGATAGTAGTATGTCACGTTGTGATATCAAGCTTAAAATAAAAGATAATCAATTAAGCAAGGACTTAGCGGCCTTACATTAGTACAACGGATGAAACTTGTGTTATCACAGATAAAAGTATAGATAATAGTTATTTTAATCAAGGTTACTCATCAAGGTTATTAGATATATAGCTACCAGATAAATAGTTGTTAGGTTAAATTGAAGTGGTGGCATTACACAAACAATGACCCGGAAAAAACACTATTCATACGGCAGATTAACTAAACCAATAAAATAATTATAAAGATGAAAGTTGCCACTAAGCGCATAGTCAACGTCAATGAAAAGATAACTATTTATGTGTCTCAAGTGCAGCTCTGTTAATCATGACGTTACCCATACATCTTGTTTTATCGTTTATAATTGTCTGGATTTTTTCAAATCAGTCTATGCTAGTATTAATTATCATTCGTTTGTTATCCCATAAAACTCTTCTTCCAACAGTTATTTTTCTTTTACATACCATATCATTATGTAAATAGTCGTCTCGGGTTACAAAAACACAAACCTAAGCCGCAATATTAACTCTACCTATCCTAGGTATATTCTACTATTGCCTAGAATACTATTGTCTAGAATGTATTAACAACTTATGAGTTGTTGAATTATGCGAAATATAAATAATTGATTATTAATCATTTGGAAGATATAAAATGCTTGGATAAAATTAAAAAATCAAACGATTTATATTCTGCATGGTTTGCAGAATATATGTGACGGAGGGGATGAGAATATAAAATGGAATAAACGACATTTGTTCTGAGTTCCTTCAATGTTGTGCTTTAAATCCAAAATATATGATATATATGATAATTATTAATATCTTGACGCATCCATATTAAGCTTTCAAGTTGTTAATTAGATCAGTCATCTTTTCCAAATCAATTGTGGTTCTCATTAGTCTTTCTTTTCAAATTATTAATACCAAAAATATAAATTCACCGACACTGAGTCCTCGTTAAGACGTTCATCAACTTTACATCCAACAAAACTTTGTTAATGAAATCTTTATTGATTCATATAATATAAAGTAGGTTAAGTTGAGAGAATCTATGTCCTCTCAACTCCTCCTATAAGACATCTTTTGCCCATTGTGTGCTATTAAAGTTCCGTAGAAGGGCTTATGAATGAGGTATTTTTGCATAATTTGTTTAAGTCGGTTTTTTATAGCTTAAATAACTTTATGGGTCATGCGATTGTGATATTGCTATCCTTATATACGTGAGATCAAATGAGATCGTATAGATCAGTAATGTCAGTATCTAATTAACACTATAAGGACCGACCCATTACAAAGAGTCTTTTTGTTAATATAGGATATATAAGATAAATATATATCCTATATTTTATTTGTTAATATAGGATGGATCAGGCATAGAGTAATATAACTTTTAGATACTACGATGCTCAAATATTTATCTTAGTCTTGAAAATGTTACTATCGAAGTAGTGAAAGTATTCACGATTATGTTGGTCTGCAACTCAGCTTAGTACACAAAAATGTTGACTTTACGGCCACCGGAAGAGTATATTATTATCATTATAAATTGAATGGTATAATTCGTAATATTTTGTTATTTTACTGGTTCTATCAGCATCCTAATATCTAAATATTTATTTATAGTTATTTCAAATCTCTAACTGCTAATATTTTTTCGTATTGGTAGTTCCAATGGAACAAGCAGATATTCTTTGTTCAATTACCTTGCAAACGGATAATTTGCAAAGGAAATTGTGTGTGGCACTAAGTCGTTGGAAGCGATTAACTTCACGATATTGACTGGTGTTCGCTTTTGAAACCTTAGCTAACATATTCTCCACACAATAATATTCAGATATATTTATTTTATTCATGTTTACTTACACTTTAGTAAATTCAACTTTAAGAAATCTTGTTTTCAATGGAAAAACATGCCTTCAAATACACGAAGTGCACGAACGACAATAGTTATATAGTATTTTGGCAGTGCTTTATTTTGAATTATATTTAGAATTATAATATTAAATAACATACTAATCTCTTCATGCATGCATTTTATTCATCAACATTCTTTTCTTGTTTGTTTGCAATTCTGGACATCACAGATTTAATCCAGCCTTTAACATGGCAACCATACGCCAAGCGTTTACAGAAGCCGTCGAAAGAGGTATGTACAAATGTATAGTTAAGATGACAATAAGTAAATTATTTTCTACTAAATATAATTGAAAATTACTGTAGCTGTTGCTTCATCAAAACTCCATGAAAACTCAGAAAGCAGCAAGCAACAGTCTTAATTAAAGCTTTTCCTTCCTTCTAAATCACTAAAAAACTAAATCACCAACAAAATTCATAAATCATTACCACCCACTCAGTAGTAGACACTACACACACGAACACACAAACCAAACGACTTAAATTCAACTTTTAAATATTTTTCGTAATTTTTGCCGTCGTTGATATAAGTTTTTTCTTCCTTACATCCAACCCAACAGTAAGAATGCCTACTCCTACACGTCTGCGAGATCTCATACGACAAATACGTGCAGCTAGAACGGCCGCAGAGGAACGTGCAGTGGTGAATAAAGAATGTGCCTACATACGCAGCACTTTCCGTGAGGAAGACTCTGTTTGGAGGTATGTTAGCATTCCACTCTTATGCATCATTCCAGTGTGATGATGGTTTTATAATTTTTATTATTTGATTACAGATGTCGTAATATTGCAAAGCTTTTATATATCCATATGCTTGGGTATCCGGCACATTTCGGCCAATTGGAATGCCTTAAGTTAACAGCCAGCACACGTTTCACAGACAAGCGTATTGGATATTTAGGCGCTATGTTGCTGTTGGATGAACGACAGGATGTGCATCTCTTAATAACGAATTGCTTGAAAAAGTAAGGAAATGTTTATGGCTTCTATACTTACTGCCAATGCGAGGCACTATTTATTTATTATTAATATTTTTTTTTTTCCAACATTTTTCTACTTATTATTTATTATTTGTATTTATAGTGATTTAAATAGTTCGACGCAATTTGTTGTGGGTTTGGCACTGTGTACCTTGGGTGCCATAGCATCGCCCGAAATGGCACGCGATTTGGCTAGTGAAGTTGAACGTCTTATGAAATCACCAAACACGTACATAAGGAAAAAGGCCACCTTATGCGCATTTCGTGTTATACGTCGAGTACCCGAATTAATGGAAATTTTCTTACCGGCAACACGGTCTCTGTTAAGTGAAAAGAATCACGGTATGTATACTTAATGATTTTTTTTTGATGAATTATTATTAAATGTACTATAATATATGTGTATTAGTACATTTAACTAATTTTTTTTAGAAAATTATAATCAGTTTTAACTTTTAGGTATACTCATTACTGGAGTCACGCTTATCACGGAGATGTGCGAAAACAGCACAGATACTTTAATGCATTTTAAAAAGGTGATTTGTTTTTCTATTTTTACGGATACATATGTTATTATTTATGAATAAATATATACAAAAATATATACGCAAACTGTTGCAAAACTCAGTTCTCAGTACTCAGTACAAACGCCAAATGAAATACTGATTCCATGCTGCTTCAAGTTTTCACATTTTAAATTTATTAACAAAGGAAAAACTGCATACATGAAAATAATGAAGAAAAAAGTGTGAAAAAGCTTAATCAATTCAGATTACAATAAAATTTTCTTTTCCATACTTACATCGCAAGTAAAATTTTCTTTTACTTTTTATTTATTATATCACGTTTTGTGCTAAATTCAAATACACTTCATAAGGAATAGTGTGCATGTGCACATGATGAAAGTCCTCTTGAAATAGTGTCCTAGTAATTTGTGATGCCTGTGATGCCTATTCTTATTTCAGATACATTGCTTAAAACTGCATTGATGAGTGATGTTTCTTTATATAGATAGTATACGTAGTGTATATTGATATATCTATTAGGCTTTGTTACGTTTTAAAAGAGAGAAAATCCTTAAGCAAAAGGAAAATCAAATAATTAAATAAGAATGTATGCCCTTCACAGTCATTTCAATATTTGTACAAACCATTTTATTATTATTATTGTTTTTTTCTCTATATAAATTAGAATGTTTATTTCAACTATTATCAATATCACTATCAATATAAGTAATTGTAAATAATTGCATCTAAAACTATACTCGAAAAAGGCAATGATATTTTCTATCTTTGTACATGACGACCTTAGAATAATTCCTATTTCTACTGCTAATGCATTAACACCAATCCTACTCATTATTGCTCATTATTATTCGAAATATGTATCTTATAAATACCTAAGCTCATTTTTAAAATTCCGATGACCAATTTAATATACAGTATATTTTTGTGACTTGAATCGGGCAAAAAATCGGCTATAAGTTGTTAAAGCACATTTTCAATATTTTACTGGCATATAAAATCGTAATTATGCCATCAATTCGATATGGTGTTGAACTTTGGAGTACTGCCTCCAAATCCCCAACACTCAAATTATTCAAAGGCAACAAGCAAAAATATTAAGAACCATCGTCAATGCTGATAGGTAAATACCAAACAACGAAATTCATGAAGACTTAGGCGTTGAGCTAATAACCGACTACTTACTCTTGAAAACTCGGAACTCCAGATATTACCGACGAAAGAATCAGCTTACACTAGAAGACTTAAACGCTCATTTCCAACAGACTTGCCAAATATTATGTTTTAAAGTGAACATAATTTGTTCTTAACTTACACATTGAAAAAATTGTCTTAGTTAAATATTGATTTAATATTATCCATATATCCTATAATCCTTATATACTTTAATCCTTATATACTAAAATACAAACCATCATGAAGGGAACTTAGAAAGACTGATAATTTCTAAAAATATAGTACTTCAAATATTTTTTAAGAATAAATATGTAACGAATTCGCATCGTCGCTGATATGACCGATGTAGTATAGTAGGTTAGGTTAGGTTACACCGGCGATCCCTAGTGGACCCACTTAGGGCTATTGGCCTCAAGTGAGGTGGCTCCTAGAGTATTAAGTCGCCGCCGTGCATGAGCCGGGCAAAAACATAATAGATGAGAGGCACTCTCACCGTCTTCCCCGCAGCTGCGATAGATTTGATTGAAAGGGAGACCTAGTCTTCTAGCATGATTCCCTAGTTTACAGTGACCTGTAAGTAAACCTACCAAAAGACCGATATCTCTACATGGTATCTCAATGAGAATTTTGGAATCTGTCCATCTTTTATTAAAACTTAGAGTACAGAAAGAACTCAGTTATGTAGTATAGTAAATAAGGTACATAAGTTTTTTTTTAGGCTAATCTGATGGTTTTGATTGGGTTAAAGGGTTAAAGGGATAGCCTAAAAAGTACTAAACTAAATAACAAAATAAATTCCTCAGAAATAATAACAAAACTTGATTTTTATATACTGCGCCTATTCTCTTAACCGGGACAAAAGCCTATAAATATACCATATATCATATAAATTTTATGCATTGAAACACGTAGCTTCCGTTATTCACCAAATCTATTTGAGAGATCATTACTTTTATTATCTGATGCTACACTCTTTTCTATTAATTTTGTAAATATTTTTTATTTTACTATTATGTATAAAAGATTTTTAATTTTATTGCTCTTTTTATTTATACAAACAAAAATGTTTTATGTGAACTATTGTATTTGCTTGCCAGGATAGCGGAAACCGAGAGGTATGATGTCAAAGTTGTTGTTGTTGTTCTTATTATTGGCACTAATATTGTTGATTTTAATTATTATAGTTTATATATAATTTTTAAATATCTTCTATTTCTTATTTTATGTGTTGAATAGCAATTTTTTCCTTAGCTTATTTTCAATTAATTTTACGATTTTACCGTACACACACTTGATTATACGTATTTGTAGACAAATTGTATTTACCAGTATTAACTATCTTCTTTGTTGTTTATTTAGTTGTTGTACCACTTGAACACCATTGCTTACACACTATACACATATATATTCCTTATAAAAGTACCAAAAAAAAAAACTTTATCTTTATTGTTGCGTACTCTACACCCAATTTTGTTACCGAACTAATACGTATTATACTTTGCTTCAGCACAATAGCTGAAATTTTTTCTACTTATTAACAATATTAACTATACAATTAAAATATATTTTATACATAGTATATATTTATTAAATGAAAAGCTTTTATCTCTTATTAACAGATCGTGCCGAATTTGGTGCGCATACTTAAGAATCTTATACTGGGCGGATACTCGCCGGAACATGATGTGAGCGGTGTTAGCGATCCGTTTTTGCAAGTTAAAATACTGCGCCTGCTACGTATACTCGGACATAACGATCCAGATGCTTCGGAAGCCATGAATGATATATTAGCACAGGTGGCAACAAATACGGAAACAAGTAAAAATGTTGGCAACACTATACTGTACGAGACTGTGCTTTCCATAATGGATATTCGGTTAGTATAGAACTATTTCTATGCAAATAGAAATAGTGAATAGTAAATATATGTAATATAACATCCCATATTTAAAATTATAGTTCGGAAGGTGGTCTACGTGTTTTGGCTGTTAATATACTCGGACGTTTTTTGCTCAATTCGGACAAGAATATACGTTATGTAGCACTGAATACTTTGTTACGTACTGTACATGCAGACACTTCGGCTGTGCAACGTCACCGCACCACAATTCTAGAATGTCTCAAAGATCCTGATGTTTCGATTAGGCGTCGGGCTATGGAATTGTCGTTCGCACTTATAAATGCACAAAACATACGTACCATGACCAAAGAGTTGTTATTGTTTTTGGAGAAAGCGGATGCAGAATTCAAGGCGCAGTGCAGTTCAGGCATGATATTGGCCGCTGAACGTTATTCACCAAACACACGATGGCATTTGGATACACAGTTAAGCGTATTAATAGCGGTAAGTCATGAAGCAAATATATTGTTTTATTCAATATTCAATATGATGCGTAATTTTTTTAGGCTGGCAATTATGTGCGAGATGATGTAGTGTCTTCAACAATACAATTGGTATCAAGTAGTCCAGTGGTTGAACAAACTTATATAACAAATCGTTTCTGGGAATCTTTACAAGTTCCAAATCATTGTGAAGACAAACAACCACTGTTGCAAGTGGCAGTGTGGGCAATTGGCGAATATGGAGATCTGTTTATGTATGGTCCAAATGAGGATGGTATGTAGAATATGAAATAAAAATAAATACTTATGTTTTTAAATAATTTTAATTTGTCTTTTCAAGATTTTGAACGTCCAACTGAAAGTGACTTAATCGCAATGTTTCATAAATATTTAACTTCTGCTCAAGTATCAACTACAAGTAAGCAATATGCCTTAGTGTCGCTAGCTAAACTAAGTACACGTTTGCAGAATTGTGTGGAGTATGTATTAATAAATCTTATTAAAAAAATACTTGTTTATAAGAAGAATATTTTTTTTATTTCAGCGAAATTCAAGCACTTATCACTTCGTTTGGTAGCCATCTGAATGTGGATCTACAACAACGTGGCGTAGAGTTTACGCAATTATTTCTCACTTATAAACATTTACGTCCACCATTGTTAGAAAAGATGCCACCAATGCAGATAAGCCGTATCTCATCGCAAAATGGTGAAAGTAGCGGTTCATTTGATGACAATAGCCCGGATCTAATCGAAAATGGTTTAGTTGAAGACCAGTTACCGCACGAAAATAATATGAACACAATGAGTGATAACACAGTAAGTATTTTAAATACAAGTGTAACATTTATTTAATAAAACATTTAACATACTATTCAATATTTTCTCAGAATATATTACTGGATTTACTTGGTGGGACAGATATATCAAATACCGTTCAAAAAGAGAATACAAAGAACGCCAACGATGTGTCGAACAATCAAGACTTCCTTGATTTATTAGATTTGGATTTAAATACAGGCGCTGTAGCTGTTAATAATACAACAAATGTGTTGGGAACTAATGCAACAAATATAAACAATGTATTAGGATTATCAAGTTTAACGGCGACAATACCAACGAATGGCAACGATTTAACAAGTATTTTATCTGGCAACGGTTTGGTCAGTGTACCAGTAAATCTGTTAGAGTCTAACAATATACTCTCACCATCGGCGAATGCGTCAAATTCATTTCTAAATGAGTTAACTTCCCCCGCCAACCTACTGTGTAGTAGTATTGCTATAGTATGTATATTTAAATATATTTTGATTATAATATTTAATGTTTTTTCTTATTAATATTTGACAGAATCAAGCGCCCAAGATCACTGCTCTTGATAAAAATGGTCTACTTGTTCATTTAGTTCCACTTAGGGTCAGCGACACCATACAAATCTTTATGACAACAACAAACAATTCAAAAAATATATTGGAACAATATCTATTCCAGGTAATGTGGGCTATACTTATATATCTTTATAGTGTGTACGTACACTCGCATCTAAATGAAATCTGAAATTAGAAAAAATTTTGAAACGAATTAGGATAATCCACTTTGATGTATTTTTCTTTAGAGGTGAAAATGTTCGAACACCATATTGTGTTCTAATATTAGGTATTAGACAGATTTATATAAATAAAATTAAAATAAAATTAAAGCATTGAGCACATCAGCTATCCGACTAGCTGCAATATTTTAAGTAGCTCGAAAATTTACGATTCTTATGTTCGAATTCGAATACACTTGAGCTGCTCGAATATCCTTTATTTCGAACAGTTTGCATTAATTATTATAATTTAATATTTAATAAAAATAAAGTAATGAATTGTTGCTTATATCATTTACGATATTGAAAGCTAATTAAAAATATTCTCTATTTTAAGAACTCATTGTAATAACCTTTGAGATATGCTGTAACCTTAGGTTGGTTGTACTGGTGGTCTTACCAAAGCATACTTGACCACAAATAATGTGGTGTAACCTTAGAAAAAAGTAGAAATAATACTTAAGTTAAGTATTTAAGTTCTCTTTTTACTAAAGGATTTAACATTTATTTGACACCTTAACCCGAATATTAAACACTTAAAAGTTATTATATTTACCTTAATTTTGCATTTTGACACTTAGTTCATTAATATATCTTGAGATATATTTATAAAAGCTTTGTTTCGACAAATCAATGATTTTATAATACAAAAGTAATTATATTATTTAAAATGTGTTTTATGTTTTTAATGTGTTAATTTTTTTGTTTTAGGCGGCAGTTCCTAAAAGTTTTACATTACAAATGTTATCGCCTTCTGGATCAGACTTACCTCCTGGCGGTATTATAACACAGGAAATGCGTGTTGTTAGTACGTCCAAGGTAGATAATTATAATAATTTTGTGTGTTTCATTTTGTATTAATTTTAAATTTATACAATTTTCAATGACTAGGCTATTCTTCGTATGAGACTACGCATATCATATGTTGTCGATGGCCAAAAAATTCTGGAGCAAGCAGAAGTAACCGGATTCCCAGACAATTCACCGGAATAGTAAATAATAATCAAAATATAAATACCTTATACTATATAACAATATAAATTGCGCAGTATATAAACTATAATAAAAATATGTATAATGTTAACGGAAAAGGAGCATACCAATAACCCATTACCATCCTTACCTACCTTAAAGCTATCACATAACATTTACGAAGACATGGAAGATAACTGCTATATACTTATACAAATAAATATTTATGTATTGTAATATATTTTAGCGTTTTAAACAATATTTTAGCAGCCACAATCACACAAAATATACACACGCATACATACAAACATTATTAAATTTAAATTACTGTAAAATAATTGTAATACAAGCGAAAAACAAGACATTTACAAAAATAAAAAACAAAGTGTATTAAAATTGTTGATAAATATATTTTGAAATTCAAACTTATAAATTAAATTGTATGTGCTAATTTATTTGTATTGGCTTGGCTTATTATTATTTATTTAGTATGACGTCATTATATATATAGATAATTTGAAGCAATTGTAATTATGGAAAGACAAGTTGAAAATATAAATTACCTATCAGAATCGCTTTTATGTTGAAATTGCTGTTAATTATTTTTGGTATTCTTAATTATTCACTGTTTGTAGTTCGAATTAAGTTAAAAATATTGTTGAATATAGAAATCTAAATTCATATAAATAAATTCGCATTTTATAAATATATTAATTTTTTTGTGTGAATACAGATTTATTGAAATAATAAAATAAGAAATATTTCTTGATGAGTGTGAAAATATTGTACGCATTTATATGTTAACCGTTTACACTTTTCATTTGTTTTTGTGTTTAGTGCATCTATATAGAATCTATGAAATTGTTTTAAAACATTTTAATGTTTAATAATATGTCCGCGTTTATTTATTTTTTTTTTGCATTTATTTTTAATTTTATTTCATCTTTTTAAGCGCTATTGTACTTAATAAATCGAAAACTTTACTAACATAAATAAAAGAAAAATACTGTGGGAGAAAATAATAGATAATTTATATATACATAATAAAAACTTTTAGTTATATAAGTTATGAAAAAGTTAATATTATAAAAATATAAAAATTATAATTTAACAATTTATAATTTGAAAACATGAGCAAATAAAGTTTTAATAAATAACTATTTGTATAATTTAAGCTATTTATGTTTGGAAATAAGAGAAGCTTTCGAACATATCTAATGTTTATGTTCTGCGTTGTCCCAAACTCCCAAACATGTTTAAAATGTTCTGGGACTCCATAAATATGAGTGTTAAAGGATGTTTTAAGAATCCACCTTCAAGCCTTCTTAAGATCCGCATCATGATGATGTCAACATTCATCATGATGCTGGCTACAAATCTGCGTATATATCTTTCTCCATCTGGTATTGTTACGAACAAGTAGGTCTATCCAAATAGCATTGACCAAAAAGAGTTTTAATTATCATTAGGTTTTCAAATAACACTTTTGCTAATTTGGAAGCTTCGAATTATTATTAATTATTTTGCTACGTTGTTTGCGCTCATAAAATAAATGTATTTCTAGTTTTCTTTTCTTTGATAATTTTATAAATCATATTTTTAATTCTGATTTATTTTTTCAACAAAACAACCGTCAGATTCTCTAATTTGTATTTGTTCATTTTTAATCACAATGGACACCTGGTTTCTTTAACTAAAAATATATAATTACTATGCACCTGATTTTTGGTTATAAATTAACACCGTCTCCCAGAGTATATTTTAAATGATTTCTAAGTGTCATCATTTAAACCTGTTTAAAGCTCATTTAAACCTGTTTAAAGTTCATTTAAACCTGTTTAAAGTTCATTTAAACCTGTTTAAAGTTCATTTAAACCTGTTTAAAGTTCATTTAAACCTGTTTAAAGTTTATTTAAACCTGTTTAAAGTTCATATAAACCTGTTTAAAGTTCATATAAACCTGTTTAAAGTTCGTTTAAATCTGTTTAAAGTTCATTTAAACACGTTTAATTATCATTTAAACATGTTTAAAGCCCATTTAAACGTGTTTAATGATCGCTTAAACATATTTTATTATTATTTAAGTGTTTTTGGATCATTTAAATATATTTAATCATAATTTAAATGTGTTAAATGATTATTTAAATGTGTTTAATAATCATTTAAATGTTTTTGGTCATCATTTAAGGGTATTTAATAACCATTTAAGCGTGTTTAATTACTACCTAAGCTTGTTTATCTTCATTTAAGCGAGTTTAATTTTCACTTAAGCGTGTTCAATTATCACATTTAAGCGTTTAATAATCATTCAAACTTGTTTAATGATCATTTATTGTTGTTACTGTTGTTATCAGAGTTATAAGGTATAGGTATATAACTATAATGAGATCATAAACAAGGAATGTTGTTACCTGTGAGTTTGTTGTTGTTGTAACATAAAGATATCTGTAAAATAAAAAACATTACGAAACAAATGTAGCGTTTGGGATACAATAAAAGGGGCGTTATGTTGTTTGAGAGAAATGAGTGTAAGTTGGATGCTAATTAAAGCTAGCCTCGGTCAAGCTGTAGGAATCTAAAAATTTTTATAGGACACAACAAAATACAAATAAAACGTCATAAGGAGAAAAGCTGAAGTTTGAGAATAGTTGTGTTTATACGAGTCAAGTATAGAATCGGGTAAACCTGCTTGCATCCACGTCATCAAAAAACATACTTTGTCTTAAAGAATTAAATATGTTCGAGCATACAATTTTAAGACAGTTTGTCGCAGCATGGTAAAGAAGAAAATTATAAGCAATTGGTAAATCATCACTCCTAACATACATACATTTTTTAATACAATACTTTTCTTTTATATATCCGTTTACGCTAGAAACGGTAAAAAAATCATATGTACGAGTGTCCTATAAAATTACATACTATAGATGATTCCGTTTTTCTGGCCTACATATATCATTTAATCAGCTTATCAGTAAAAAAAGTATGAGCCGGTAGTGATATTCGATGTCAGTGATATTTTAGTTGAAATGGTAACTTTTTACGATTATTTTAATAGACCTCTATCAAATCACCATCTTTGCAAACGATAAAACTACAATCCAGCTAAATGATAAACCGCGATTTACACTATTTATATAGGTCAACGTAACTATATGGAACAGTCATTTCCAATACCATATCTGCTAACATAGTATAGCTAAATTATTGGACGATAATACTATCGTCTTCTTTAATTGTGCTGTTGTACTCGCAAGTCGTCTTATGTAAATAATCCTGATGATTGATGAAAAGGGTTAAAGGAATACAAACAAGGTAAATCATATATATGAATAAATAAGGATCAAGTACTGTATAAAATAAAGTGAAAAATTTACGTCTTTAAAGTGATTATTTATTGGTTTGCAACTGCGTAGATGTACATTTTTGACAGATCAAGACTTACCTGGGTCAAATTGGGTATTACTCGTACCAGTCAGCATCTTTAACTAAAGTGGAACCAACTCACTACTACGATATTGGCGCAGATGAACTGTCAGTCATCACCTGTCAGCTATCAGTTATTAGAAAGTCATACAAGATGATTTGGTCTATTCCCTAACGATGTTTTTTTGGATTGTGATTCTGCGAATGAGAAAAATCTGTACTCCACTTCATGGCTAGTAGAAGATTCTTTCTGACCTGAAAAAGCTGTCATCGTTTGAAATTATGGATATAAGCATAGTTAATAGACTCGTCAGATTGGTTTCTTTAACCTATCGATATAACATATAAACAGTTAAACAATAAAAGATGGTGTAACATAAGTACAATTTTATTTGATAGGGATGTTTCATATATAAAAGTTTCACATAATTTAAATACATAATATTCAAAAAATTTTATATGTAACAAACTTTTATTAATGTATATATTATTGTTTTGTGAATACATGTGAATTTTTAATACAGAACTATTTCAGACTTTCAATTGTAAAATTAATTTTTCTTTACATTTTTTGTGTTTATTATTAATAGAAATCAGAGTAATGCTTAGAACCATAGAGCAACTATTGTTGAATTATTTAAACATTTTAACAATTTTTTTTATCAAAGAATATCAAAATGTAAATTGACATTATATATTTCCTTTTTAATTGAATCGTGTTATAAATTCGATTTAAAATAAAATTCTTTTAGTTTTAAAATCAAATCTTATTCTTTAGGTAGGATTTTTAATTTACTTAACAATTAACAATTATATAAAAATGTTGTCTTTTAAAAGACGTTGCTTAAAGGAACATAGTTGTAGTCGATCAATTATTGTTTTTAATAAATTATTTTATTTATTATTTTTTAATCATAAATAATAAGTATTTATCGAAAAAATATATATTGTATTTACACAATCATTTAAAACGAACTATGTAATAATAATATTATTTATATAATAATTTTTTTATTATATAGTTTTTATTGTTCTTTTTTTTTTCTTGTTGTCATCATTATTATTGTATTTATTGTATGATTTTTCTTTATAATCCGCTATAAAAATGGAACATCCTATATTTTGTGTAGTTTTCCCTGAAGATGACTATCGAAGATAGTCGAAATATCGGAAATAAAATATAAACGATTTTTAAATATAAATAATAAATCAGTGTCTTTTTATTTATATTTAAATTTGACCAATTAGCCCGATAACAAATTATTATAATAATTTTTGGTCATAAATACAAGTATTTAATATTATTTATAACAACTAGAATTCAATGATAATGTATGAAAAAGTATATTCTATAAAGTTATAATAAAATATACATCGTATAAAATTTTGTCATGAATTAATAATATTAAATAAAAATAGAGTACAAATTGCATAATAAGATTAAAAAATTGTAAATTAATTTTAAATTAGTGCAGGATCTTACTTTCGTTACTTTATTATAAATTATTAAAATAAAGCATTTCTTTCGTGTTATGTAAAACCCATTATAAGTGAATAATAGAAATTAAGTAAATAAAAATTATATTTAACTTATAATTAAAATTAAGTAAAAATTTCTTTTTTGTTATATAAACACAACTTAAGCTTTATAATTCAAGATAAAATAATTAAAAAATAATATGAAAATAGTATGACTCTATTATATTAAACAGCATTCATTTAAGAAAAAATATTTTTGTTTAAAATTATAAATACATATATTTCTTTTTAAGATTAAATAATTAATATTAAGTAAGAGTTTTTTTTTGATATATAAACACAACTTAAGCTTTATAATTCAAGATAAAATAATTAAAAAATAATATGAAAATAGTATGACTCTATTATATTAAACAAAATTCATTTAACAAAAAAATCTTTTTGTTTAAAATTATCAAAACATATCTTTCTTTTTAAGATTAAATAATTAATATTAAGTAAATATTTTTTTTTTGTGATATATAAAAACAAATTAAGCTTTATAATTCAAGATAAAATAATTAAAAAAAATTATCAAAATAGTATGACTCTATTATATTAAATAGCATTCATTTAAGAAAAAATATTTTTGTTTAAAATTATCAAAACATATCTTTCTTTTTAAGATTAAATAATTAACATTAACTAAGTATTTTTTTTTGTGATATATAAAAACAAATTAAGCTTTATAATTCAAGATAAAATATTTAAAAAATAATATGAAAATAGTATGACTCTATTATATTAAACAAAATTCATTTAACAAAAAATATTTTTGTTTGAAATTATAAAAACATATCTTTCTTTTTAAGATTAAATAATTAATATTAAGTAAGATTTTTTTTGATACATAAACACAACTTAAGCTTTTTAATTTAAGATAAAATAATTAAAAAATAATATGAAAATAGTATGACTCTATTATATTAAACAGCATTCATATAAGAAAAAATATTTTTGTTTAAAATTATAAAAACATATCTTTCTTTTTAAGATTAAATAATTAATATTGGGTAAGATTTTTTTTTTGATATATAAACACAACTCGAGCTTTATAATTTAAGATAAAATAATTAAAATATAATATGAAAATAGTATGACTCTATTATATTAAACAGCATTCATTTAAGAAAATGTGTTTTTGTTTAAAATTATAAAAACATATCTTTCTTTTTAAGATTAAATAATTAATATTGGGTAAGATTTTTTTTTGATATATAAACACAACTCAAGCTTTATAATTTAAGATAAAATAATTAAAAAATAATATGAAAATAGTATGACTCTATTATATTAAACAAAATTCATTTAAGAAAAAAATCTTTTTGTTTAAAATTATAAAAACATATCTTTCTTTTTAAAATTAAATAATTAACATTAAGTAAGTATTTTTTTTTGTGATATATAAAAACAAATTTAGCTTTATAATTCAAGATAAAATAATTAAAAAAAATTATGAAAATAGTATGACTCTATTATATTAAACAAAATTCATTTAAGAAAAAAATCTTTTTGTTTAAAATTATAAAAACATATCTTTCTTTTTAAAATTAAATAATTAACATTAAGTAAGTATTTTTTTTTGTGATATATAAAAACAAATTTAGCTTTATAATTCAAGATAAAATAATTAAAAAAAATTATGAAAATAGTATGAAAACAATATCTTTCTTTTTAAGATTAAATAATTAACATTAAGTAAGTATTTTTTTTTGTGATATATAAAAACAAATTAAGCTTTATAATTCAAGATAAAATAATTAAAAAAAATTATGAAAATAGTATGACTCTATTATATTAAACAAAATTCATTTAAGAAAAAAATCTTTTTGTTTGAAATTATAAAAACATATCTTTCTTTTTAAAATTAAATAATTAATATTAATATAAGTAAAAAGCAAAACTATTGTTTAATAGTATAAAGATAGTATGTATCTATTAAATATAAGTAAGTTTAAACTTATAAGCAGAATTATTGTTTAAAAAAACAAACATTAAAATTTACTTCTGAACTTATTTGTAATGATTAAATAATTAATTTTTCTTAAATAGAGTATATAAAACGATTCAAAAGTGAATCATTCAAATTGAAATAATAGTAAGGCATTGCTCTAGAGAATATCTATTGAATTCAATTATCTTACATATAATTGCCTCTATTATATTTAAAAGAATTGTTAAAAATTACTAATACTAAGCTTAAATTTACTTTTGATTTTTTGTGTAAACAACCGTTCAATAATGTAAAAATTAAGGTGGAAATTAAAAATAAGATACTTTTAAAGCAAATAATAATAAAGTTTCAAATGAAATTATTTTTAAGTAGTATAAAACCTTATTAACTTATCTTAATACAAAAACTCAAAAACTATTGAGAGGTTGTAGAATTCATTGTCCAGATATCTGTACCATACACATTGAAGTACTGTATCATGTTAATTTCCTTTATCTGTGTTGATATTCCACCAGAAACTTCTATTATAGCTGTTAAGTTTAAACTAACGGCTGACATTATTATTCGATCTATATATGAAGCCTTATCCTGAAATTTTAAATATACATTTTTCAATTAAACTAATCAATTAAAACTATTACTGTGTTCATATTGGGCTGCCCATTATCGATAATTAAGTCAATGGCATATCTAATCAATTGCATTCGAGTTATCTACAATAAAAATTTGAAGAATTAAAATTTTACTCGAAAGAACTGGTCAAGTTCATCTTACTGCTTCCATATTCTGAAAATACAAAATCGTTTGGCCACATGTATGGGCGATGGCCATTTGAAACGCTATTAAAAACAGGTCCTGTAGTCCATGTTCAGCTTTTTTCCAATCGTACATTTCCATGCGATTACCTGATTTTTTTTGTATGCAAATGTCGGCGTCTTGGAATTTAAAATCAACCAAATTCTGAAAAAATTTCATGTTTTATTTATTTATATAAAATATATAAACATTATTTATATTGGCAATGAGTTAATATACCTCTAACGCGACACCTAAATGTATTAGATTATTTTGGTATGGAATTAAAAACCAAACACTGAACTTAGAGTTTGTTAAGAATTCAAAAATATTCGATGTAGTATTAAAGATGTCTATTAGTTCCGCCGTTTGAACGATATTTGAAAATTTAAGACTAGTTAAAATCGCCACAGTTAATTTTGTGAACAGTTGACGATCGCCCATATTCGGATCCTCATACAAGTACATGTATTTTTCGAAGAGAGTACCAACAGATGGGCTTTAAAGTTCAAATAAATAGGATTAGATATAAGTTATTTAAGATTAGATATTTATGATTTTTAAAAATAACTAGTTAGTTATTTCGATAAAGGATATATTATTTGGCAAAATAAGATCAAGTACGTAAAATTGCAAGTTAACACATATTTAAAATTCTTGAAAGAACTTGTACTTACTCAAAGTTCCAACGCGAATTTAACTCTACAACAAGGCTGCGCAACCAATTAGAATTCTTCGATCCAAAAGTAAAGAGCCGCATGGAGACGTACTCCGCCGTTGTAAGGAAATTCGCATGGAATTCGTAAATGTTCATTTTAACATTTTTCCCATCATTTATTTGCATTTCGACTTCTAATGGATCTGCGCGAAAGTCGCGTAAAACACGATATTTCGTTATATTAGTGCTCTTCCTAGTGCATCGTTGTAATTGGCGACGTTTTTCTTTTTCCAGAGCTTCTTTTGACGTCGATGGCTTTAAGGAAATCTCATCCAGGGACCTGTCATAATATTTTGAATATTTTATGTCCTGGAAAACCTCTTGTCCGTGTGAACTGTTATCAGATTTCAAAAATGTAATGGATATGTAACCATCCCATAAGTTACCAAAATCTTCTAATGCAGCTATGGTTGCATATTTGGGGCTACATATCAATTTAATAGCCTCCGCAAACAAATTTTTGGCCGGGCAGCTTTCGCTGTAGGATGCTATATAGACTGGCATGTTGCCGGTAAAAAAAATCTTCGAATCTTTAAACCCTAATATGTTCTTAAGCTTTACCTGCAATAAAATTGAAATATAATATGTTTATTTATTTACCATTATTAATAAAACCTTTTGAATAAACATTATAAAAATATTCACAAATGAACGCTTCGAAATTTTGAACGAAAAAGATCGCTGAAAATGTTCAATTCATTAAACAGATTTTTTTGTCGTTTTCGTCTATTCTATTTCAAAAATTCACCATACACGTTAAGTTGTGTTTAATTGAGTTACCATGTTCAAATACACTGTAAGACTCAAACATTTTAAAATTATTTTTATATACGTTTGAATTAATTAGAATAATAAAAAAGCATATATTAATTTATAAATATATAGTAGATAGTGAATTAATTGTTTAAGATTTTTAAATTGGGCAGTGAAACAATTTATAATATGAGTAATGTTATGTGAACAGCTGTTTATCAGTTCAGATTTATTAATTTGCAAATTAGCAAAACCTACGGCATGTTAATTTACTAAAATGTTATATATTAGTATTTCATATACAAATTTTTTATTTCAAATTAATCACCTTAACCGTTTAGCAAATAGGCATAAGTTTAGCATGCGAAATAAAAATCTTTAAGACATCTATTTTGATTATACTTTGTATTTAAATTCAATTTTAAAAAACAAATTGAATTTTAGCATTTTACGTTTACCTATCTACAAACGAAAAAGGAAAAGGACTTGGTGAAAACGAACTGGTATATCATACTGTGGCCGTGTGCGAGTTCGAGTAAATTGATGGTAAATTGTGGGAAATAGCAAATTATGTCGGTACGGTAGCGAATGTTGATATTTACCAGAATTGTGAGTAGGGTAAATTAGATAAAAATTAAGTAAATTAGGTGTTATCATTGTGAAAATTTTATAAGATGTTTAAAAAATAAATAAATAAATTTGAAAACTTTTTACCAAAAATACAAAATAAGTGGAATTAATAAATAAAAAAATATTTACATAACTGCAGTGCAAAAAATCCCTAGGATTTTAATTTACTTCACCTCAATTTACTTGAACTCCTACATGGCCTATACAAAATTTACTTAATTTTGTTCAAGTAAAATTCAAATAAGATTAAAAAAATGCTTATCACTTATAATCATATATATGGCATGTAGAATATTTGATATAGTACTGCAAAATATTAATTCAAAAATATATAGATTAAAAAACCAATAGTAATAATTAGTTTCATTGCTTTATTACAATTATTCGGTTGTTCAAACTGCTCAGTTCAATTAATTGTAATAGAAATATAGTGCTGTTTTTAAAATGCAATTACAATTTTATTTCTTTTAAATTTTATTTGAGTCTTACTTGAAAAGTATGGGAACAGATGAGAGATATTGTATAATATGAATACAGTATGAATGCGGTATGATATTTGTAAGTAAAAATATAGATGTTATATCGAAGTCCTCATGCATACGTACCATATAATGAAGACATACGTAATACGCTATCTATTAAAATATTAAAACCCCATACCCGTGAATGTAGAACTTTATAAAATATTTATAAAGTTAATTTTTTATATATTAAAAGATATATAGTTGGCAAATAAACTCAAAAATTACTTAAAACCTTATTATTATTATCCGTTCACAGCAACCTAAGAAATTTTTTATGATACTAAAACAGAGTTTCACTTCCCATATCATTTGACATATCGAAATTTTAATACTTTTTTAGCAAATGTCAAAGAAAAGAAAACTAGGAAACGTAGGATTTGCAAAGTATGGGAAAATTTATTTTCTTAACTAGGGGAAAATTGTGTTATGTAGATTTTCCTTAACTTGCAATAAATTGTTAGATTTAAAATCAGTGACAATGTGAAGAAATATATTGTAAACATACTCTACCGTATACAGAGGCTCGAAGTTATTAAAATTTATATGTAATAACATCGAAAAACGAATGAAGAAAACTACGGAATAAAACGAATAGAGATAAGAACTATAATTTTTCCAGCGTAGCATCTGAATCAGCAGCATTAATCTATGACATAGAGAAGATTCGAAACTTCAACACAAAATAAAGTTGATGCAAATAAATTGTTAAACGAAAATGTCCGCAGATATACAAATTGTTTCTGTGCCAAATTTGGAAAAAATTGAAAGTTTTTTGAAAGATGCATCATATCGCGAAACAATTGAATACAGCGCAAGCTTCAATACACGTTTATGTATTGAACGGCGCTTACGTTTACCTTTTCTAGATCCGCAAACAGGTGTAGCGCAAAACCATTCGCAACTGTTTGTAGATGAAAGGCATCGGATGCCCGGCTTCCGGCAAGGACAAATATACACTTATCCAGCGCCTCGTTGGCGTAAAAGTCGGCGGCAGTACTTGATAAAAAAGTGAGATTACTTAATGTTCAATAATTTAAAAAATTCTCTATAAAAAGCTTATTTCGTTTATATAGATTTCCTGATCGTCCATTTCAAGCTTTACGCAAGGAAACAGAAGTACTGCCTATAAGTACCAACAATACAATACTAACGGCTTGTTCTGCATCGCCTACTGTTATTGGAAGTAATATAAACGAACCAGATTTTAATGGTTCATTGCTTGAAGAATCATCTTCACTTGGTGCTGCTGGAGGCGACACATCAGATAGTAAAGATAGCCAACAGCAGCCACAACATCTTAAAGATGATTTACCTAAAGAGTGGTTCTTTGACGACATGGATATGAATGATGTTGATTCACTAGAAGAGCCGAAATCACCCGCAGATGATGAATATGATTATGATCCACGATATGGTAGTAAAAAGCGAAGAAAGAGACGTCCCAGTAAACGTGCTTCACTTACCCCAGGTGAAGGTGGCCCTGGTCGAAGACGCAGTGGTGCTGGACGCGGACGTACGTCGACAGCAACAGCTGATACATCCCTCGTTGGTTTAGATGCAATAGATGGCGTAGGCTTAGATGTAAGTACTACGCCCACAACTAGTGGTCGCCGTCCAAGAGGTACACGTGGACGTCGTCGTACAAAACCAAAAACAAGCGGCGGCAATGCATGTGATCCACCTAGCCCTGGTTTAAATAGCGAACCGCCTTCATTCGAAAGTGCTGCCGCAGCTGTTGGCGTCAGTGATATGCCAGTTGCAGAAGAGCATAGCGATTTGCGTAACTATCGAAAGTACCTGTAACAACGCTATATCAATCGGAGCACTACTCTAGCGATATAAATGGGAGGCTAGTGCGACTACAACACTTCTTGATGCATTGTTACTGCAATTGAGTGTTACTTGATTTTGTTTTTGTTTGTAAATTTAAAATATGTTTTTCTTATTTTAAGTAACATATTCCTATATATCTTTTTTAGTATGAATGCTCATATATATTGATCTGGTTAAACTATTGTTAGTTCGAATGTTAGATAAGTTAAACTTACTTTAAAATGTTAAAAGGCAACGTTAACTAGCATTCGTTACATTTATTTTCTTTAATTTACAAACTATTAATTGTAAGGTCATATCTTTTTTTTTTTTAAATCGAAGAAGAATTTACAGAAAATGTATTGTTTATTTTATTTTATTTTTATTTTTTTTAATTTCTTTGTATTCTATAGCAAAATAAAATAATTTATACACAATAATAATTTCAATAGACAAATTGTTAAAAACGAAAAACGAACGTATGCAGCGGTTTCTATAAACATAAGTATGGTAGACACTGAAGCTCATCACATTTTACAATAATCAAAGATAATTTTTAATAGTTTAAAATGATGAAAATAGTTTAAGTTGTGCACTGCAAACTAAAAAAAATACTATTTAAAATATTTGCATTTTTTCAATAAGATCAAAAATATCATTAATAGTAAATAGAAAAATATTTTTAATCGAGGGAGCATCAAAATAGCCCACATTTGTATTATGTTAAAAACATTTTGCTAATCAATTAAAATGAATCATTTAGGAGAAATACAAATTTATAATATATAAAGTTTTATTTATAAAAACACTTAACACGTAAGAAAAAAAAACTTTTGGCTACCAAAATTATTTTTTATTGATGTAAGTAAATGTAAAAAGAAATTATAAATTTTTGGGAATTATTTAATAAAAAACACAAATTATATATAAATATCAGAAAAAGAAAAATTTTTACTTCAAATATTTGCAATAACATTTAATTTAAACAAATACTTATGATATTTGCAACGACTACCGACTACTGTTGCAGCTGAGAAAATTTGAATAAGCAAAAGAGAGATGGAACCTCTTACGAGATTCAAGATAAGAGAGATTCAAATTTCTACTTCTAGGACAGAAAACGTTTATGAGATCTTAAATGTAAAGAAAAGTATTTATGACACAAACAAAATAAGTAACTTGTCCCGCCCAACAGTCGGTACTGCGGCCAGAAGAGTCTTATTGTACCAATTTCACTATTGATTACATAAACCCCTTAAAGCTTTGAGAACAAAGTCCAGAACTTAATCTAGAGAAGGGTTCTTACTCTATTCTGGTGACAGAAATTCCATATGAAACAAGTTTCTTCTGTGCGTTCTTAAAGCTGGACAATCGTAAAGAATATGCATGGTAGATACTATTCCTATGTACATTGCTGAGGAGAACATACCTATCCTGCCTAAGTCAGATAAGAACGTCTCAGTGATTTGTATGGCGATGTTATTGTGTCTACAATTTTGTCTCAGCATAAAACGATAAGAATAATATTTTGTTTAAGAATTGAAGGTGAGTATTCGAAAAAACCGCCAGGCTGCCCTACTTAGCACTTTAGATCAGTCATCGAATAATTACGAAGCTATTTAAGGAATACTTAAATTAGTCAGGGAGAGGGGTGGGGCTCTGCAGAAATCTCCCAGCTATCACAGAGTAAAAGTGTCCAGATACACTAACTCAAAAAAGCCAACATAAATGAATAATGAAATCACTCAGTGAATAGAATACTATTTTGCTTTCTTACTTATCATTGTTGGCAGTAGATAAAGAAGAATTTGGTACTATGTATTACATTTAGAGCTTTCATGTGTGATTGTAATTCTCTTACTTTTGATTCTAGGCTATGAAGAGAGCTTTTGGCGAAACTTAGTGATAGAAATAAACGGGGCACTAGCTCTCAACAGAGCGGAGCACTGAGATCATGATTGATTTTAAGTGCTGCAACAGACTCTAACCGAACAGAAGACATTCCGCCTTCCGAATAAAAGCCAGAATGTCGGCCGTTGAGGACCTCTTAATATCAGAAGGGGAGAGTAGTTCTCGACACAGTGACCTCCTCCTTTTTAAGGTTATTATATGAATACTGAAGATATGCCAAATATCCTCAGTGCTTGCTCACAAAGAATGTACCATATAAAACAATAGTTATATAAATATTGGCCGTATAATTATCGATTGATGGGAATCGGAACAGTGTGGCATATACTGAGGGCTTATTTATGATAATATTTGACTGTACCTTGACACGGTGTGCTTAGGAGGTTGACGAGTGAAGTATGTCATTCACAGTCAATTTTTGTTATTAAGGCCTATGGAGCCATTTTTACAACATGCTTATTGTTATCAATTCGACTCCTACATAGAAAAGGATCTCTTGTCCAATGCTTTGTTTTGATTTTTCTGTGATGGAATTTTGATCACGACACTTGTGCTGTCTTGGATATCTGGTAAATGTTTTGCAAAACCCTTGGCATATGCGTGACTGCAAACAAATTGTATCTATGATTTTTGTTTAAAATATTTGTGTTTATGGACGCTTTAGTTGTGAATGCGTCTCTCATCGGTGGAGTGTATGTCACAGCGCCTGTTGCATGTGCCTTTAACACCAGCAGTATGGCATTTATATTTATATTTAGGACGCCCAAGAATTTCTATGTGCATCCATCTCTATTCTGTTTGTGTTAAAAAAATAAATAACGAAAAAAATTCTTGTATAAAAAACACTTGCATTCATAAGATTTAAAAATAATATTGGAACCAATTCTTGCTATGTAGGTCCGAGATATTTCCGTACTCGTATTTCTTGTGATTTTTTTTGATTGGGAAAATTGTTTGTTTTTAAGGGCATAGTATAAATGATATACTCAGTTCAACAAACTGCTGGGTAATGTCAGTCCAATTCAAAGGTCAATCACGTTCTCAACTATGTACGTTGAACTTCTAAGCATGGAAGTTTGCCAAATGATGAAGAGAGCGGAAGGTAATAGGAATGCAAAAAGAGTTCACCAATTCATATCTGAATTCTGAAAATGTTTGAAAATGGAGTAATGCTTTCAACATACAGCATTTATAGAGATAAATATTGATCATAGCAAGAAGTCTAATCATTTACTTACCTATGACTATTGTTAGTCATATAACTCCGATTTAATTCAAGTTATCCTTCTATTTTATTACGTAGTCATGTCATGCTTACACACATGCATAGGAGAATAGATTGGATCATATTAATAAAATGTTTAATTTGCTTTCCATCAAAATGCACAGAAAATAGAAAATCGTTTGTTTTTCACTTATGCATCGAGTTAGATATGTGAAGATATATATGTGGCGTGCTAATATGGTAGGAATTTAGAGCATCCTTCCCACTTTGCTAAATTAACAGCTAAGAGATTTATTAGCGCTGTTTTTGATACACAAATAGGCAAAGAATTCGCATTTGATTTTTGAGGTTTCTGCACTTAATTCTCATAAAAGATATCGCACTCACCGTGAGATATTCGCGTACACTCGAATATTTATCTTTAGTTTGCTGTAGATGCAACATTTTCCGGATGCCTTTGAGGCTGTTTGCTTTGCTGCTGTATGCAATCCCCAATGGGATAGGGAGAAAATATTTTCAGAAATCGTAGCGCGTAAAGCTACAAATGCAAATGCAGTACTAATTAAATCGTTTTTGGCACTTTTGGGATAAGTCTTTCGCATTTAGTTTTCATTTACCGCTAAACAGTATCGCAATTCTTGATCTGTGGTGTTCAAGAGTGTCAAGTTTGTTAATGTAATTTTCTTACAATAATTGCTCAAATTTGTTTGACTTTGAAAAATCTATAAAGGCATAATATTTATTTTGTTTAAAACAAACAATGATTCGTTTTTTATTGGCAAGTGAGAAATAATATTGCAAACTACTAAGAACTTCCTTCAAGTTCCAGTATAAAATCAAAGTATAAACTACGTCTGAAAAATACATATCCAAAGGAAATGGATAAAAATAGGATAAATTTGAAAACTTAATAATATGGAAAAGATTCCAAAGTAAATAGATCAGAATATTAAATTGTAAACTTATTAAATGGGAAGAATTGAAATAAAATTTATAGATCATAACCAAAATATCAAATCTAAATTAAAAATAGATTAAATAGACTATATTTATTGTGGATGCTTAAATGCTAAATCAGTGTTTTGTATAAGTTGTTTTATGTAAGGTAACACGATGTGATTATAGCTTGATTATACTTCTTCGTTTCCTCCAAATGTCGTTCTACAACAAAATATATTTTAGACCCAACTTAAAGTATATCTAAGTCATTCGAAAAGTGCAATAATAGAAAGATCAACATATGCTAAGTATGTTTTCTGTATACTGTAAATCGCAGTATAAGTGATCAAAAATTTTAGTGTGGTTCCCTAGACGCATATACCCAGTTAAATCAAATTTTCACAATACATAAAATATTTAATAAGCGTTTGGACGTCCGCACAACTTTATAAATTTCAATTCCTGTTCAATTTGTCAATGTTGGTATATCATCTGAATTTTTAGTTGTGAATAATTTATTTAAAGTCAAGAACTCTGTAAAATTTAACTTAAAATAATATTTTAAACATGTGCAATCTTAAAGTATTTTGTATTCCAAAACTTTTTTAATAAAGCAAAATAAAATATAATCATTCTAACTACTTATAAAGGTTTCTATTGGAATTATCGTTTGCAATCTTTTAATTGATAAAACAATAAATAGCAGCTTGAATTTATCATCATATATTATTAATTTTTCACGTTAGTCAACACTTAAGTAGCGAAAGTCGAATTTGAATCAATAATATTTTTCTTTTAACAAATATTTTTATTTTGTTTTTTTTTTTAAACAAAATATTAATTTAATGTATTACTCATTATATACTACCAACACAAAAGTATGTTATATTGATTTCGAAAATTCAATTTTCAAATTTGTGTAATCTCTGTGTAATGCCTACAAATGAATTTCTATAAAAATATCAATAAACAATCCTAAAAACTCCTTTACAATATGTAATATATTAATAATATTTAAGTTCTTACTTTTCATTTTAGTACAAACAAACAAGTGTATAATTTATTAAGATAAATATACATTTTAATCATTTGTTTAAGCATAAAACTATAATTTCCACCCTTACAAGTTATTTATTTGCATTTTAACTTTCTGGCAGCACTGCACACACAGCAACTGAATTTGCTCACTGTCTGTAATACAAAAACATTACTTCAGTTTGTTTTTAAATTTCATGAGAAGCGGTTGTGGGGCGTTATTTTGTGTGAAGATGTTGTAAAAATTTTGTCTAGCGAATTACAACAGAAAAGGGAGCGAATAACTGAAGTGTGTGTATATAAAAAGTCAACAGAAATCGTATTGAACAAGTTTCGATAATAAATTAAAGCGAAGTTAAAGCAAAATCAAACTAATTTGTATAATTTTATTGTGTTTATTATAATAAAAAATTATTGCTTTCAAAAAAATAGCAAAATATTCATTCATTAAAATTGAAAAAGGGAAACAAATTATATTTCTCCTCTCTGCTCCTACCACATAAAAACACGCATTGCATTCCCGAATTTCTATCCCGTTTTTCACGCAATTCTTTTTGTCTTGTGCTTTTGTGCAGAGTATTCGTTTGTGTTCGTGTACACGCGTATGTACAAAAAATACAACAACAACAACAAATTGCTTGAAGGAGTTTCTGAGCTATATTATTTGGTGTCAATTTTGTTAAAATTGTTAAAAAATTAAAAGTTAAAATTGAATTTATTAAATTAAATTTACAAAATACATTCATTAAATCTCCAACGAAGTTAACGAAACGTCGAAGAAGAAATTACAAACATAAAAACGTGTTTATTTTTGTTCTGTGTTTAAACAAATTTTAATGCATTTTTTTGAAATTTATTTGCGATAAAAATTTTCAAATTCTTTTAAATTTCAAATTTAGTGAGATTGTTGCAAAAAAATAAAACAAAAAGAAGTTATTTTAAATATATTTGATAAATATAAACGAACATGTTTACCGAGGGCATTTTTCCGATTGGTGATGGTCTCCTGGACATTGATGAGGATAAACTGAAAGGATTATTAGTTCCACATGACATAAACGAAATATACGATGTGGAACAGACTCCATTTGCAAGGTAAGTTCGAATAAAAATTAGTAAATAAAATTATAAATTTTATTGAAAATTATTAAATTATTGAAAAGATAAGTTTTTTATAAGTACTTTAATACTTTTTTCATTACAATGAAATGCACTAAAATTTCTAATCGTCGCTATCAGTGATTCTTATCAGCGTTATAATGGCAAAAATTAGCAAAAGTTATATATTCTACTACATTTAAAAAAGTATGAGACTTGGTTTTTAATTATCTAAACTTATCTAAAATAAAATATGATGCAAGTAAGAAAATCAGATAATGTGTTATGTGTGAAGAATAAAACATTTCATTACTGAGAAGGATGAACTCCTCTAAGTAGATAGCTTCTGTCTTTTTGCTCTTCTCTTACTATAATATTTATATTATAATGACCTTTTTTGAAAATTAATTTTTTTCATTACTAATAGTAATTAATCTCTTCACATAGTTTCTTTACAACAATTTATAATCCTTTGAATGTGACTTCTTATACTTCTTATACTATTTCTTACTATAATATTTATATTATAATAACATATTTTAAAAATAAATAGTTTTTATTACTAATAGTAATTAATCTCTTAGCTTCCTTACAACATCTTATAATCCTTTTCATGTGACTTCTTATACTTAAACGGGTTAATAATAATAAATCAATAAGAATTTTATTAACATAAATTTCATAGTTAAATCACTTGTCATTACTTACATTATAAAACTCTTTATTAAAAATGATTTAAAAAATGTTTGATAGTTTAGCCCGATTGCTTAACAGTGTCCATATATCCTTCATTTATCTTAAATTGGCTTAGAGCGATACAATTTATATATATTCTCTTTACCTCTTTCCATATCTCGAGAACCAATTAGATTCTTCAATGCCGTTAGTTAACTTAACCATTCAAATATTGACAAAACTCATTGGCAATCTACGGGTAATTTTTTGAGATTTCTAAATCTTAGGGCAAATTTCATAGCCGGCCTTTAAGTTTCAATACTAACAATATCATCTATGTTGCCTTAATTTATAGTCAACTCAGTCATGTTAATTCATGTCAGTTTTGAGACTAAAGCTAAATCTGTGAAATCGGCCTTAAGAATTGTGAGAACACTGATATTGCATATAAATCAAAATTGGAATATATTGACATTTGCTATGAGTATTGTTATGACTTTTGTTAGTTACATTTTTTAATTAGATTTAACATTGTAATAGATTATAGATTATAGATTATATTTAATTTCATATATTTTATATAATTATTTATTGTATAAAATTTTCCGACAGTTTCGGATAATTTTTCGAAGTTTGTTTATTTGTTTAAAACTTTTATTGATATAATATAAAAGACTGAAAAGTATTCAAGTGACCTACCTATTGAATGATCATTTTATGCCAAAAACAGTTCCAAAGTATATATGCTAATATAAGTTATATTTCTATATTTAGCATTGTATTAAAAATATGGAATTCAGTATCGTAAGTTCGATACTATAATTTATCAAATAAATAAATATGCTGCATCTATAATATAATAATTAAATTAAAATAGAGGAAGGTATTTTATTTATAAAATTATGTGTGCCATTCCAACTCTTTTGCGAATAGTGGAATTTCAATAGAAGTTGGTAGTTACAGTTTGTTATTATAAATAAATTATTATAAATATAGATATATAAATATATATAATATATAAATATTATTATAAATATATATAAATATAGATTAACATTCTATATAAAATAATGAATATATTATTAATATATATATATTAATATATGTATTAATATATATAAGTTTTTTATATTAATACCGTTTAATTATTTCAAATTTTGCTATATTGTTTATAATTATAACGAAAAAGGATTTTTGCTATTTTCTAGTTTATTTTTCAATAAAGATACAAATGTATAAAATATATAGATAAAAATGTAAAATATTTTTTGTTCAATAGTTATATTTATTCTTATTTTTGTAATTATATATGTGTATAACCTCTACCAAAACAATCGTTTACTTTCATTTTTTATATATTATTAACTTCATATATAAATATTTTTTATTTATGTTGTTTTTATTATTATTATATTTTTGTTTGATATACTTTGAACGTTAGTTGGTATCTGCTTATCAGCATCAACTTATGGCATTCGCTGTAACATCGACATCGCCACCAGTCTTATCGTCTTAAGATACTCTTTTTACTGGTACCTTTAATAGTCGTTAAATTTTTTTTTTTTTTGAAAAACATTTGTTTTATTATCAATTTTAAATGTTTAATATCGAAACATAATTTTTTATATCATAAATTGCTTTCTTAACGTGTTTATTCATTAACACATTTTGTTTACAGTCGCAATAAATGAGCAAAATAAATATGTACTTTGCTTTTTTGTATTTGTGCCCCAGAATTTTTATAGGTTTCACCTATAAGATATTGAAAAACATTTTACAAAAGTACAGTACAACAGGTGGTTAAGTTTGAGTTCTGCAACTGTTAAGAAGTTTGAGTTCTGCAACTGTTAAGAGTAAAGATACTGTTCTATCTATAAATTAATAACTAAATTCCAAATGAATAAATTAGTTTTGACTAAACTTATATACTTTTCATAGACTTATAGAGGATAATTAACTAACAAATCTTTTCAAACTAGAAACACGAGCTTGACATATATGTTTAAATAAAATCTTATAGGTACGAGTAGTGTTATTTTCTTTAATGTAATTTTCCAAAGGTAAATTTATTTAATAGAAAATCAGTAATAAAATAAGATTAGCACCGTCTTTGGACGCTCTCTATATCTTGCACCTGAGAATTCTAATGTTCTTTTAGGTGCGCTGTTTCTCTTGAGTCCTTCTGAAAGGTGTAACTGTAACGGATTCATTTTTATATTTATATAATTTTTTTTTTTTGATTACGTATTGCTCAATAGTTAGAATAAAAGGTCTGTAAAGCTACATAAACTTAACTAGATAGATCTTGTTTATCTATATGGGTTTGAGCTGCCATAGCCGATCATTAGATATAGTGCGTTGTCAACATAACTATACAGATTATTCGATACATGCTTTTAATCAAAAAGACATAAGCTTCTTGAAAATTTTTCTGCAGATACCAGATTCTGCTATCATATAATAATACCAAGTTTACTATGTTGTTAAATATTATAATTCTTGCGATAGTCTCACAATGGTATCTTTTGTTTTCGATGTATTCTTTTTTTTCTATACTAAGTGTTATGGCACGTTCAGAGGTTATTGTCAAATATGAATTCTTAGCGGTTATCAACACATTCTTGTGTTGATTGCTACATACTATATGTTAATCTATCTTATATCTCGTTAAATACATGTTTAAATACAATATAACACCCTTTTTTCCCACCAAATCATTATAAAACTTGATGGTATATGCACTCATTTTGTTCAGATCGCTTGCTACATCATCGATCTATCTTCTTTTTGTAGTATCGGGAAAACCATTAATTGGCATAAGAATGCAATATCATGTATGAATAATATTATATTATGAATATTAAGAATGAAAATATTTAGTTAATATACTTTTCACTGACTAGTTCCCGGTTTTTAATGAAACATTGGGTTTTGCTTTTTTTGGCGCTGTTTGATAATAAATTTTCATTTTCCAACGTTTTGTTCTTGTGTACAATATTTTATTAATAAATTGTTAACAGTTCTTGTAAATTATAAATTACATATTTTAGCAACAAATGCCAATAGTTCGCCAGTGATTTGCTTAAGTATAATTTTGTCATAAATTTCAAACGTAAATTAAGTGTCAATTATGGCTTGTTGCAAATAATACATTGCAAATAATTTGCTGCAAATTTATGTTAATTAATAAAGGAAATACACATTCTTATTAATTTTCGATCTTGTTCGACTTACGCAAACGTCAGTTATTAATTACTTCTTATTGAAGTACATAAATTTTAATTAATTATACATCGCAAAAAGATTGTTGTTCATACAGTAAAAGAAAAAATAAGTGTTAACAAAAACCTACGTAAGAATAAGAAATATATTTTTATAAATAACATAATAATGTTTAATTAAATATGTATATGAGCTAATCAACAATATATAACAGAACATATTAAATAAAAATATTATTATGATAATATGACTTTATGATAATTTAATAATGATTTAATTGAAATAGAACTGCAATATTTAACTCTAGCAGTTAAGTCTGTTTCTTTCATGTCAGAGAATTTTAATAAATTAAGCAGGTATTTTCACTAAAATAAGAATACAATTATCAATGGATCAATTATCTAAAATGAATAAAATCATATTTTTCTTGTTTAAAATATAACAAAAGATGCAGACGTAATTTATCTGTTAAAAATGAGAGACATTCTCTAAAACGTCTATTAATATATTTTTTTATTGGGGTATTTATTACTACTTATTGATTTTTGCGTCCATTTACAAACATAAATTGTACTTGATCATATCCATTAGCTAGAAGCTTCCTATTCGTCATCGTTTAAGAAGTGTGTTATATGATGAGTTCCATGCTTGACGCATGACTACATAGATCCATGCGTAAAGTTTCGCTGCACAAGACAATAGTATTAACAAATTATTATAGTTATTCAGAGTCCTCACTGGGAGACTATGAGAATGCAGTAACAAGGATCGTGCTGATGTTTACCAGGTTCAATATAACCAATCACTGCTAATTCCTCTCATTCATATTTTCTTGTTATTAAAATGTATTATAATTAATTAAAAGAAAATAAAATTTTATTGTAGCGTAGTATGATCGAAATAAATCACAAGAAATTTTACTATAGACAATACTCATATTTCATTGTACAATAAATCAATTACTTATATAGTAATTACATAATAAAAATACTTTGAAAAGAGATATAATGTCGAATAAGTAAAATAGTTCATATTGTAGATAACTATCAGCTTCATTTATATCAGATCTGTATTTCTTTACGGATGCGGTGAAGAAATTC